TTTCATATGTATATGTCTGTAGGAAATTTTACTGCGATCACTGTCCTACAAATAAAATCGGTTTTCGACAAGTCTAAACTTTACAAACATTAAACAAAAACATTTCGTTCGTTTTGGGCCCGCACGCATATTGATCAACAGTTTTATATTTGGTGCAGTTCGTACATATGCTGTGTTGAATATTTATACGTCTGTTCTAGAAAATGTGATTGCGGACACATTGCTACCAAAAAGAAATACGTACATAGAAAATTAAAGTCAGGACAGTTATAAATGTACACACTTTCCAAGTGTGGTTTCCAACATGTGTCGTCGCCTGTGCGCTCGCGGGTAACACCGGGTCCACTTCCCACACTCTTGCGGGTGGGCAAGGACCATGATTCTACATTCATATGCATATGTCCGTGTAGAGAATTTTATTGCGATGCCAGCGATACCAAATTTAACGCTGTAGGACAACTGTGGGCTTCACAACCATGAAGAGAGAAACATTTTGTTGCCGTTTGGTGCTCTCGACTAGTGATCTCGGTAGTTATTTGGTGTCGATATACCTTATGCTTTGGAGGCATTTTATTAGGCATGTTCTTAGAGAATTCTATTGCGAACACCGATACAAAAATTAAATACGTACGCCAACAATTAGTGTCAGGACAGTCAAAATGGTACACACTTTTCGGTGTTGCCTCTTAAGCGCTCTAAACGCCGCGCGCACTAGGGGAAAGTTTTTTTATTTGCCGGTTGCAGGAAAGTGTTAAAGTGAGACCAGTGATGGATTTTTTGAAACAAAGGTTTGCAGAAGTTTACATCCAAGAAAGTCTTGTTTAGATTAAGGTACAATGGCGTGGCCGACTCTCGTTCAAAGTGTACAAACCAGACAAGTATGGTGTGAAACTATATATGCTTGCAGAATCAATATCTGGCTACATATATGACCGACATGTATTCAGGTATTGGCAAGACAATAATGGAAACTGTTACGGGGTTGATTTAGCCTTTAGTGAACAAGGGTCACCATCTGTACATGGATAATTACTACAACTCTCACCCTAACAGAAGTTGAGAGAACTTTGTGTCTACACATGTGGCACAACTAGACTAATACGTGGCACCCCAAGGGAATTGCTTGCAAGCTCTAGCCAAGGGCAGACTTCTACTGGATACCACCGTATACTGCCACAAAGATAACACCTTCCTACTGTGGAAAGACAAGCAAGTGGTCTCAATCATTACCAACATCCACAATGCACACACACAAAGTTCAGCGAAGGAAACTAATTCACAACCGCGATGGAACAACTGGACTACAACAGGTAACAGTGAACAAACCTACTGCAATTTGCGAGTACAATAAGTTCATGAAAGGTGTGGACCACTTCGATCAAATGGTCAAGTATTACCATTTCATCAGGAAAACTCACAAGTGGACAAAGAAGATAACGTTTTATTTTCTACAAATGGCATTGCATAATGCCTTTGTTTTGTACAAATACCACACCATTGATCAAAAGAGGCTAACATTGCTACAGTTCCACAAGGTGGCAATTTGGTTCCTATTACACTGGGGCCCAGAAGAGTGGCCTCAAACAGCAATAACATCAACACTTGCAGCATGCTCCAGACATAAATGATGACAGGTCCTGCCTATGCTGACTCCGTGCAAACTCTTGGACCATCTGGTGTGAGGCGGCCTCTGTTTTACTTGAACACCTCAAGCTGAAGCAGCAACAGAATCAGAACCAGAGATGTCTGGCACACAGCCATTTGACGAGACAGCTTTGACAGATGACCGACTCAAGTGTTGCACCTACACCGAGAAGACAAGGGCGTATTGTTGATTCTGAAAATCTGCTAAACTACAAACTGAAACGAACTATACAGACTGCCCAAACGTCTCGGGTGCCATGCCTGCATGGTCAGGTAAGAGGAAGGACACCAACATAGGATGCAAGACCTGTGATGTTGCACTGTTATTCCCTGCTACACCAATTACCACCGGAAAAGGGTGTATTGGGTGGTGAAGGAGTAACCACCCGCAACAGCTTCACTCCACCTACGAAACATCTGTTGAGCAACTTCAGGAATGTTGACCTGAAGATGGAGGAGTGGAAAAAAATGCTCGACTTACTGTTCCACAATCGGCTTTTCCTTGGTAAGTACACATAATTGGTCCAAGTTTGTGTAGTATAATTTATTGCGAGTATTTTGATACCAGAACGAACACCATCACAAACTGCCGTAAGTAGACTAAACTTCATAGAAATTTTTTTGGGTGTAGCGGGTGTGTGTACGAGTGTCCCAAACGGGTTCCAGTTGGGCGACTAGGCGTTTATACTGGAAAGGCTTCCCCCATATGTATTATATGCACGCGTGTTTAGGGAATTTTATGCCGATCAATGTACAACCAAAAATAACTGTGCAACAAGTAGAGAGTTTACAAACAGTAAACATTTCGTTGGTGTTTGAATCTCACTGATATGTTCCAGCTGAACATATCAGCTGGATATTATATATGGCGCTAATCTAACTTACGCTTTATTCTGTTTTACCTTGGTTCTCATAGAACACTATTGCGAACACATTGGCACAAAAATGAATGACGTACATAGAATAATGATGTCAGGACAGTGAAGCGAGTATAAACTTTAAAGCGCCGTATCGCGCATGTGTCGTCGCGTCAATGATACCGGGTAACAGTTCGGTCATTTCCCACACTCTTGCGGGTGGGCTGCTACCATGATTCTACGTTTATAGTCATATCTCTGCGTTGGGAATTTCATTGCGAGTCCCGTGATACTGTACCAAAATTACCACTGTAGGACAAGTGTAGAGTTAACAATCCCAAGAGTAGAAAAGTCTTGTTGCTGTTTGGCGCTCACGGCGAGTCATCTATGTAGTTATTTGGTGCTGGTATACCTCTACCTTTGGTGACCTTTTTTACACATGTTCTTCTAGAGAATTTTATTGCGAACACATTGCTACCAAAATGAAATACGTAGCTCGAGAACTAATGGCAGGAGAGTAAAAAGTACACACATTTTGGTTTCGCCGCTCAAATGCCGTGCGCACATACCGCTTTTTTTTTTTAATGTTTGCCGGGAGCGCGATAGTGTTTTTAATGTGCTACGATTTATTCTCTTTAGATGCATCTTTGCAGTACTGCTTTACCATGTTATACGCTTCCTGTTATACTTTGACATTAATTATATTGTGGTACAGCAGTTTTCTATAAAATAATAAGTCCCCCACCCATATTGGCTTGTGGTTTTTCTCCCCGATCAGAAAATCTTCCTGCAGATGTGATGAATGTCATACATGTTCTGTACTACCTAACAGTATTTATGTACTGTATATTAATATAAGAGGAATATAGTGGGAGGTGGATTTGAAGGAGGCCATATGCTGAAAATATGCAATAAACGAAAACTGGTTCGATTTCAAACTTTTTGGACTAGTTTTATATAAACTTGGGTTCAACTAGCCCAAGTCTCAGCATCATAGCATAAATAGGAAGGGCGAAAAAAAAATTTAATGACTTTTCAAATTTTCCAAAAATGGTCAAAAATTATTAAGTGTGTCAGCTGAAGTCATGTATGACTAAGCTATCACAATAGCATAAAATAAAGCATTTTAATATTTAGTGTTATGCCAAAAAGTCCCCCCCCCCCCCCCGATCCCACCCCCAAAAAAAATTACTTTATCAGCCGACTTGCATGAAAATTATACACCTTGCAGAACGTAAGCCTATCTGTAAGGATGCAAATTTTGAGGAAATTGGTTGAAGTCAACTTCAACCACAGGTGGCAGAATCCGATTTAATTTATTGTCAAGTAACAATTTTAACTTCATTTTTTTCCCCAATTTACACCTAAGAGAGTTTACATCTACAACCTTTGTAAAACTATTCCTAAGTTCATTTAGTGATTTTATAAATATTTGCAAACATGAAATATTGGCACATTTCTGGGAACCTTTGACTACTTGTATTAGTAAAACTAAACATTTCGGATAATCCATTTTATACAAATCTATTATATGCTAGTGATAGACGAATGTCGGAAATGATTTCATTTGAAAGTTGTGGTTATAGAGTATTATTGAATGTAAAATTCATTGGAACAAAAATCCCTCTATTTAGGGTGCGATACCGAAACGTAGAACAGCTGCAGCCCGTCTTGTATACAACTAGTAAAAAAAAAAAAAGTTTGGTCGATATTAAAAATCGGGTAATATGCCCCTTTAACAGATTTTTATCGACCTTTATAATTTTCTCAAGTCGTAGTGTTCAGGGCCCCAGTCAGTGTCACACGACAATGGGCCAGGCTGGTAGATTGAAATGCTCGGATAATGTTATAGAAAGGACCTTCGAGAGATTGGGGGGGGGGGGGAATTAAATACCACTATTTTCAGTCAAACCTCATTAGACCAAACCCCCTGCACGGGTAACCACTTCTTCCCCGTAACACCCTGTCTCAATGTTCAGCAATATGTTTATTGTTTGTGATGTGTCCATGTATGTATGTATTAACACGATGTACTGGACGGGGCGAGGATAGTGTGGAGCTGCCTCATCCTTGTGTATTTTACCTCAATAAACTTATTTTAATTTCAACCTCCCCTGGCTTTGTGTGCAGCAAATATTACGCCTGACCGACAACCAGAACCCAACTCTGGTCTCTAGAGACTGATGGATGCCTACTACTCTGCTGGGGGTTTGAGGTTCCAACCCAAAAGCATCTAATACTAGGTGGACAGGGGTATTAGGTGAAAGTAAACATGCCCAACCACTTCCGTCCCGCCCGGGATTCCCAATTTAGACAAGAACGAAGCAGACTAATACCTGCAGGAGACAGTGGAAGACAGTCCTGTCAACAGAAGCAGGTACAATCTCCCCGTGCCACTAGAGCCCCCATCAGGTAAAGCAAGGTAAGGTACTCGTGATATACTGTAATAAAGACTATAATGTCTCCCTCCCCCCCCCCCCGGCCGCTGTCAGCACTCACCTTGCTGTGACAGTTCAGCGTCGTGCCACCCGCAGAACTTGTTCAGCTTGTTCCACTCGCTCTCGCCATGACGCACCATAACAATCTGATACTTGGCCATGGTGAGGTAGGTGTGGGAGGCGCGTGAGGGGCGGCGAGAGTGAGGAGAGACGAGAGGAGAGTGAGCCGGCCGGCGACTGTGAGGGCTCAAGGTGTCGTCTGCGACCCGCCCGACCTTCACCGCCCTCCACTCTTGCCACTTCCCCCACACGCACTCCTACCCCTCACTTTATTGACATTTCCTCCATTTCTTATCTTCACAGCTTATATATAACATTATAAATAATTTATACCTCATTTTACTAAGCTGAAACAGACCAAATAATAAAATTATGGACGTTTAGGTTAAAATATTTATGGAAGGAATGTGTTGCGTAGTTGGCTACACTGTCAATTCCTCAAGCTGCATTTAAATGCCGTCTTGATCCAGCAAATTATTATAGAGCGTCTCATGGCCCAACAGCTCTTTTCAAGCTACTAATTATTAACAAGAAGCCTCTTAATAAAAGGAATAGATTTACGTTATGAAACTATGTGTATATGGACAAGGACAGTGTTTTGAAAGATGTATTTAAAGTACGGTATGGTTGCTCAACCCGGCTAAACGAAGCCAACTATGCAATAGTTATCAACAGTGTCCTCTCTTGTTACTAGTCCTACTAGTTTCAGTTAGTCTCAGTTAAAGGTATTAGATATCTTATATATGCCTCGAGCTGGAAACCAGATCACACACGCAGCTGTAATGTGTTAAGACAGGTATATCTGTATAATTATCATACACTGTCAAAGCTGCGGCTGTCACGTACTCTTGCGGCCCAAACAGCTCAATATAATGTATGTCATACACTCTCCATCATGTATGACCGAGAATTATATGTACGGGCAGCATAAAACATCCACTAGACAGTGTGACATTGTAATTGCCAGAATTAGGCTGGGATATCAATATCTATGGCAGGTGCTTACAGGTAATGAATCCCCCAATGGTGAACATTCCAATTGTAAACTATGTGAACAAGAGCTAAGACTTACACTATATCTGTGATTACCCTGTTATCAGTAACTTCAGACCAAATGATATGAGATACTTTGAGCTCCGTAATTAATTCATACACTCAGGAATATTAGAAGATCTTGTGCTGTACCCAGATTAGTGGGGGCTAAAAGATCACAGCCTTACATTTTATGTTCTCTCCTGATTCCATGTATGACTAACCATCCTGTGAGACGGGGATATTAGATGAGTTTACAGCTAGTTTTTGATCTACACTGTAATTTTTCATATGGAATAGAGTAGCAGCACATTGATGTGTATGCCTATTGTTTGTTAATAAATTAAAAAGTAAAATATAATGTTTCCACCACAATTAAATAAAAATCCATATGTAAATATACATAACTGCAAATGTAAATAGCTTAGATTTAATAAATCATGTTGTCTTCCAGTACCTAAATCTATTTGCCTGAATTTACCCGAAGGCCAGCATCTCTAGTGGCCACGACAGGGATAGGAAACCCACGGGTTTTGTCAACGGTTCCCCCATTGTTCCTGAGAGGTCACAATGGGGGAAAATTGTCCTCCAGTTTAAAATTCAACTGCAGGAATGTCAGCATTTATATGGCTCGGGCGAGATATAGGCGATTATAGGTTTATCACTTTATTGGTTATAAACCTATGGAACCGCTTACCAGACGAAGCCGTTGATTGTAACTACCTCATCAAAACTAACTTGTTTAGCTAAATCAATTTTGGGGGTTCAGTCCCTGAGCCCTTTATGTGCTTCTGTACATAACCGCCAACAGTATGAGTATGGGGACATAATAAATTAACTCAACTATAACGGCTGAATTTCAAAATCCAGCTCAATAAAATCACAATGGAGGAACTAGAGAAGTGACCCTCAGGTAAATCTCATGTTTAGTGAACTTTATTGTGGCATGTTGAGCTTAACTGTTGCCTCTTGTGTAACTTATGTTTGTCTTGTTGCATTCGATATCTTAGAAGTGGTCTGGATTAATATCTTCCAACTAGCACAGCCCTTGTAAATGAGGTTCCAGGATGCTGGGACTCCCAACATACAAAATCAATGTGAATTACAAATTTGTTATGTTTAAGCTCAGGTATACACAGCAATGTGCAACCCACTGTTGCAATACACAGCAACCCTAATCTGTATGAAGGATTTCAAAGTTTTAATAAAAAAAAAAAACTAGCTATAAGTTTACGTAATAGTAAACAAATGATCAAACGATCGAAGGCGCCTAGCCGAGGAGACTAGTACTATCAGACTTATAAAAGACCTGAGCAAGTATAATTCCAATTCACAAAAGTGGGGAGCTCACTGAAAAAACTAATAACTAATAAACTAGTTAGTAATTAAACTAATAAACCTCCGTCACTATGTGATGGAGTGTGAAAAGATACGTGAATTCAGAGACAATTCTATAACAAATGTTCCAACGATGTGTAAATATTTCATTCAAAATGATCTGCTACCAGAAATTTTAGCCAAATATCCCCAGTTTGCTAACTGTAGGTAGTAACTAAGTGATTGTAACCTATCCACCGCTGCCCACTGGATGGGGGGCGGTGTGCAGGACAAACATATCAATTGTGACACTAGCTCTCCACATATGTCAGTTGCTTAATTTAGAAACTGTACTTGTGGTCGATCTCGAACCCATTGATGATGTGACGACTTATACTGAATTTTGTAACTAGCTCATCAAGACTATAACTTGCTTAGCTAAATTAAATGTGGGGTTCAGTCCCGAGCCCATTTCTGAGGGGTTCAGTCCCTGAGCCTCTGTAACCCTTTTCACTACTGCCCACAAGATGGGTATGGGGTGCATAATAAATGAACTAAACTAAAAAACTAATTGAAAACAACTCTACACCAATATCAATCATGTTCACGTTGTTCAAAATGTTTGTAAATCTAATGTACTATAACTCCCCACTCCCAAAAGAAGGCACCAAGTCAATATGGTTTTAGACCCCAAAAATCACAATCACCCCATTTTTGGGGTGTTAAGGGGCCCCCTGATGCTTGAACTCAAACGAGCCTCATCGCGTCCAGTCTACCTAAGATACTTTATAACTTATTCATTGTTATTTTTACAGCCAGGTGAACAGTGGAGGAATCATCTAATAACATTTGTAGACCTGTAAATACTATTAGTAACTGCTCGGCTTAATGCTAGTGACCATTACCTGCTGATGAAGACCTGACCAACTGTAAATCTCAAAAGCCCTGAAAATTATTTCAGGTAATAAATATGCAAGATTAAAAATGGTCAATGCATTACCCGAAATTGTTGCCAGTTGTCCCTAGTCTGTAACTGTAGGTACACTTACAGCTTGGACGCCCAATGGATGGAGAAGTAATTATCAAAAGAAGGCACCAAGCCGGGCAGGCCATGTAGCACCCTCAATGGATGGAGAAGCAAATTATAATCGGCTTAATACATTAATTTATTTTTATTCAAAAGCCTAGATACACACAGCTGTGCTGCTACACTATTCTATAAGAAATATTACAAAGTGCAGATAAAAAGACTAGCCGCAAGTTTACGTAATGGCTAGTTTAACTGAGATGGCTAACCATTTCAGAGGATGGTTAGCATACATGTTATCAGGAGAGAACACGAATTATTTTGTTAAGTTTGTTAGTTAATTTTGTTTGAAATCTATTCAATGCCTTTATTATGCACCCCATACCCATCCCGTGGAGAAAGGGTTACAGAGGCACATAATGGGTTCAGGAACTGAACCCCATTATTCAATTAATTAACTAAGTGCCAATCTTTTGAAGCCAGTTACACAATTGTTAATGTTACATACAAATGCACATATATACACAAATAATATTTTTCATATCAAAAGTTATTCAACAAGAGGGTCACAACCGTCTATACAGAGCACTTAATATTAATGGAGAGTCAAACAGTTACCGTCTTGTTCCATACCCAGCCAACTGGGTGGCAGCTTTAGTCATGTGAAGGCTGCACCTACAGTAAGCAAATATTGGGCACTTTACTAAGATTCCTGGTAATACATCATTATCAATGTCATTTCTTGTAAGAAATTACATGTTTGGCGTTATCTCTAAATGGGGTGATTTTTTCACATTCCATTATATAATGATACCCGCTTGATGGGGTTCTGGGAGTAGTTCTACTCCCGAAGCCCAGCCCGAGGTCAGGCTTGACTTGTGAGAGTTTGTTCTACCAGGCTGTTGCTTGGAGCGGCCCACAGGCCCACATACCCACCACAGCCCGGTTAGTCCGGCATTCTTGTTCTATTAGTCCCATATGTGAATGTCTCCTCACGATATCTATCATAATATGTAATGCTACAACTTTCCGGTCTTTGTGAATTTGCTAGGTCTGTGAGATCTTCATTAGATATTTGTTTAAGTATTCAATGTGATGCGATGTTATAGTGGCCAGAATACGCCTGGGATATAGACGTATCTGGCAGCTTTCTCAAAACCCAAATGTCGAGTACACAATGTGTCAACTTTGTGAAAGAGAAAACATGCACTCTCTTGAACATTATATTGTAGAATGTCCCATACTGACTGACTTTCGCCCTCCTGGGCTGAGGTATGCTGAACTGTGTAATTACTATATGAGTACTGGAACACTTGATGATATTATTGGACTTGTACCCAAGATTAACCATGTAATGTATCAATTATACAATGTATATATATGATGTAACTATATAACCTGAGATTGTAAAAGCACCTTCATCACCTTCAGTGATTAAGTGCTTAATTGCACACTAGTTTCTCTATCAGCTATCTCACCCTGTCAGAGTAAAAGAGACAAATGTATGTGAATGCATGTGTGTGTGTATATATGTATGTAAATGTATGTAAATATGTATATGTACGTATATGTGTGTGTGTATGTATGTGTATAAAGTATATATGGAAGCTGATCAGACTTACATTTCACCTTTGTAAATGCACATTAATGACACTATGTAAAAGACACATCGAACACTTTATGTAGGGCATACGTAAATCTGTGTATCTATGTATTTACGTATGTAGGTTAGCTTAGCATTTTAAAAGCACCGAATCACCTTCTGTAGTTGATTGTTCAATAAACCCTTGAACTATATGTTTAACACATCTCTATCCCTGTCCATGGAGGACAGAAGAAAATGTATATATACTGGTTAGCATTGTAAATGTGTGGCCACGTCTGTGGTAGAAAATAATAATAATAAAAAACGTCCGGCATTCCTTGGAGAAAATTATCTAGTTTTCTCTTGAAGATGTCCACGGTTGTTCCGGCAATATTTCTTATGCTCGTTGGGAGGACGTTGAACAACCGTGGACCTCTACAGTGTTTTCTGATTGTGCCTATGGCACCTCTGCTCTTCACTGGTTCTATTCTGCATTTTCTTCCATATCGTTCACTCCAGTACGTTGTTATTTTACTGTGTAGATTTCGTACCTGGCCCTCCAGTATCTTCCACGTGTATATTATTTGATATATCTCTCGTCTTCTTTCTAGTGAATACATTTAGAGAGCTTTGAGACGATCCCAATAATTTAGGTGCTTTATTGCGTCTAAATATGCTGTATATGTTCTCTATATTCTCTCTTTTTCAGCAATCTCTCCTGCTCTGAAGGGGGAAGTGAGTACTCAGCAGTACTCAAAGTGGGACAGTACAAGTGATTTCTATAATACAACCATTGTGATGGGATCCGTGGATTTGAAAGTTCTCGTAATCCATACTATAATTTTTCTGGCTGACGCTTGGATATGCTCCCTAAACGTTAGGTCGTCACATCATTATACCTGGTTGATGGGGTTCTGAGAGTTCTTCTACTCCCCAAGCCCGGCCCGAGGCCAGTCTTGACTTGTGAGAGTTTGGTCCACCAGGCTGTTGCTTGGAGTGGCCCGCAGGCCCACATAGCCACCACAGCCCGGTTGGTCCGGCACTCCTTGGAGGAATAAATCTAGTTTCCTCTTGAAGATGTCCACGGTCGTTCCGGCAATATTTCTTATGCTCGCTGGGAGGACGTTGAACAACCGTGGACCTCTGATGTTTATACAGTTTATTTTTATTATTCCCAAATCCTTTACATGCTGTTTTCCTACTATGGACACATTTGATTGTGTTTTGTACTCTGTATTAAGTTTAAGGTCCTCATTTTTACCGTACCTGAGTACCTGGAATTTATCACTGTTAAACAATGTTATTTTCTGTTGCCCAGTCGAAAACTTTATTAATATTTGCTTGAAGTTTTTCAATGTCTTTAACAGAGGTAATTTTCATGCTGATTTTTGTGTCATCTGGAAAGGATGATACGAAGCTGTGACTTGTATTTTTGTCTATACCGATTATTAAGGATGGTAACAGTCCATTTCATGTACTCACCTAGTTGTGCTTGCGGGGGTTGAGCTCTGGCTCTTTGGTCCCGCCTCTCAACCGTCAATCAACAGGTGTACAGATTTCTGAGCCTATTGGGCTCTATCATATCTACACTTGAAACTGTGTATGGAGTCAGCCTCCACCACATCACTTCCTAATGCATTCCATTTGTCAACCACTCTGACACTAAAAAAGTTCTTTCTAATATCTCTGTGGCTCATTTGGGCGCTCAGTTTCCACCTGTGTCCCCTTGTGCGTGTGCCCCTTGTGTTAAATAGCCTGTCTTTATCTACCCTATCAATTCCCTTGAGAATCTTGAATGTGGTGATCATGTCCCCCCTAACTCTTCTGTCTTCCAGCGAAGTGAGGTTTCATGTGGTCTCCATCTCATGTTGGCCTCCGAATGCATGATAGAGCTGATAAGTTAGCCAAAGATTCTGCCTTTAAAGGAGCCGTTGAGTGTAACCTTGGATTGTCAATGAGCAATCTGAGAGCAGCAGTACACCGAGAACTTCAACAAGATCTTGTAGATCTGAGGCAAAGTGAAATCGACACCAGTAATTCCATCTATCATCATACTATCATGCAAGAGGAGCCACGCATCTATGGATCATCCAATAAAATCAGCAGACTTCTAGATGTTACTACTGCTCGGCTTAGACTCGGTTACAAGTATCTCTGGGAATTCTCATTATCGGCTGATGTAGACCTGACCAAATGTAAACTGTGGCAACAAAATTATTCGCACACCCTCCGTCACTATGTGATGGAGTGCGAAAAGATGCGTGAATTCAGAGACAATTCTATAACAAATGTTCCAACGAAGTGTAAATATTTCATTCAAAATAATCTGCTACCAGAAATTTTAGCCAAATATCCCCAGTTTGCTAACTGTAGGTAGTAACTAAGTGATTGTAACCTATCCACCGCTGCCCACTGGATGGGGGGCGGTGTGCAGGACAAACATATCAATTTTGACACTAGCTCTCCACATGTCAGTTGCTTAATTTAGAACCTGTACTTGAGGTCGATCTCGAACCCATTGTTGATGTGACGACTTATATTGAATTTTGTAACTAGCTCATCAAGACTGTAACTTGCTTAGCTAAATGAATTGTGGGGTTCAGTCCCTGAGCCCATTATGTGCCTCTGTAACCCTTTCCACTACCGCCCACAAGATGGGTCCGGGGTGCATAATAAATAAACTAAACTAAACAGTATCTGATATGAGAATAAGGAAAAGCAGTGGTGCAAGAACTGTACCTTGAGGAACAGAGCTTTTAACTGCGCTTGGACTCGATTTTATATGGTTGACTGCTATTGTGTCCTGTTCGACAAAAAACTTGAGTATCCAGCGTCCTACTTTACCAGTTATTCCCATTGACCTCATTTTCTGTGCTATATCTCCATGGTCACATTTATTGACTGCCTTTGCGAAATCCGTGTATACCACATCTGCTTTTCTTCTAATGCCTCAGTGATCAAGTAGCTGTGAGAAGCATGATCTTCCTGCTCTAAATCCATGTTGGCCTGGGTTGTGAAGGTCATTGGTCTCTATAAAACTAGTGACTCGACTCTGATCACTCTCTCAAATACTTATTATGTGGGACGTTAGTGCAACAGTGGTCTATAATTCTTTGTCAATGCTCTGCTCCCTCCCTTGTGCAGAGGAGCTATGTCTGCTGTAAGCGCATCTGGTATCTCTCCAGTGTCCAAGCTCTTCCTCCACACTATACCAAGTGCCTGTGCTACCGACACTTTGCATTTCTATATAAATATTTAATTCCACGACTGGACCCGGAGCAGAGTGCATAGGATGTTTTCAATTTCTCTTTCAAAACCTAGTACACTCGTGCTGATATCAGTTATATTTACAGGGGTTAGGATATCACGCATACAAAATTGTCTGGACCTTGCACTTTCACATCGTTTATTGGAGTGCTAAACATGTCCACGTAATCTTTTTAGGATGTCACTAATTTGTCATTCTCCGGGAATGAACCCTCACTCGTATGAATAGGGCCAATACTGGCAGTGGTTTTTGCTTTTTTATTTCCAGAATTGCTTTCTGTTCTAGTTGCCTTTTAAGTCTGACCTTTCAATTTCTTCAATCTCCCTACTTAAATTATTCCTTCGTAGGAAAAGTTACGTCTCAGACATTTCCGCTATTTTTTCCTCCTCTTAGTGTAGTTTGCGTTCTTTCTACGTCGGACCCTTCTTCAACGGAACACGTTTCAGACTATATGCATCCTTTATCATATATGACGCAAAGTATACAAAGTTATGACAGCACACGTTTAGTCAAATCATCATCAGTAGATGTTGCAAACTCCCAGAAGTACTTTAAGCAGAGTTCAACAACGGCAACATCTACAAGTCTTGGATGACTCATAAACGCGTGGTTCTTTGTGCATAATTGGTATTAATTTCACTTTGCCCAAAGTAAGGAAGTAATTAACAAAAGGCACCAAGCCGGGATGATTATGGAGCACCATCACTTTGCCCGAAGTCTACGAGATTTTGACAGTGTTACCAGACTATTACTGCCCTCAGGCTGCTCAAAAGCAGTCCAAGATGGTAATACATACCCTCCTTATGAGCAAATGCTTTAGCAACGTATTTTTATTAGACAAACATGAGTCGCATTTGGATCAAGTGGATAATCAGACAAAAATTACGACACTTGTATATTTTGCAAAGAGAAAAGTTATGCAAAGCACCAATTAATGCAGTTTCCCTAGTAGGTGTAGGAAGTCGAAGAAATTTCGAAGACAACATAACAGGATCGTACTCTTCACGACGTGGTGCGTGGCGTTAATCCTCTCAGTCACGAGGTGCATGCCACCACTGCAGTGCCCCACACACGTCGATTGGGACCGTCTCGCTGGGTAACAGCAAGTACCTGAAATAATTGTAATATTCAGTAAAGTAAGCAAGCTTGTGGTCAGAATTTATGACAAAGGTTAAATGATCAGTAGTAGCTGATGGTGATCAAGTAGGAATCACACAAAACATTTATCATCACTTGCAATACAACAATGGGATTTTTTTTTGGAATGTTCAGAAAGCACCTTCAATCAGGTTAAAAAAAATTTCAACCCACCTTATGTTAGCTGTAAAATCAATCTCTATTCTTGATGGGTTCTTGCTAACATTGCAATATAATTCAAGTGCAACAATTGAAACCTGTAAGGAAATAATTGAACATTACTTAAAAGAGTTATGTAACATACAATGAGCTACACCCAAGAAAAAAAAAGCTCACCAGAAATTAAATACAATATATTTTTTATGTATGGCACAGCAACACTACCTAATGCCATTTATTACACATACACTCGGATGATACTTCACAAATCTTTGTCCATCTTCTCATTGAGACCAGCTGCAAGATTAGCAGGCTCGTCTCACCCACAAGAAAATGATATAATCTACTTCCACTTGACAACCAGAAAGAAACAATTCTACCCTGGTGCTTTTTGGGAAGCCAATGATAAATGATAAAAGATATAACAGTATATTAATTGGTCTAAGTTCTAGTAAAATTTGCAGCCTAGCCTATTTTTTATTCTATTATACCAAACAAAAAATGTAGGCCTAACTACCCACGTAAATTTGTGAAAATTACACCTGGCACCAATCATCCTTAACACCCCCTCCATTCAACAAGTAGTGTATGTATTCAATGTCCATCTTGCTGTCCCAAACCTTGCATCATTTCTTCCACTTGATACAATTCTAAATTATCTAAATAATATAGTAATACAAAGAAGCCAACTATAACACTTATACCTTATCTATGATTATATTTAAGGGAGCATCAGTCCAAAAATATGCAATAAATGAAAACTAGTTAAATTTCACAACTTTTTTGACAGGTTGTATATGAAAGGGTTTCATCTGGTCCAACTTTCGGCATCATAGCATATATAGGAAGGAAGAAAAAATATTGAATTATGTCATTTTTCCAAAATGGCCAAAATTAACATCAAAGTGTCAACTGAAATCATGTCAATGACTCTTGCTATCATAATAGCATATGATAATATTTAATAATTAGTTTAATAATAATAATAAAAAAAGTATGCAACTGACTGCATGTAAGCCCATCTGGAAGGGTGCCAAGGGTGCCAGGAAATTGGTCGATGTCAACCTCTGCCACATAACAGCACCTTAATCATCTTTTTACTTATTTTTTCAAATAAACATCCTTATAACTCTTTTATTGAATTTACATGAAACTTACACCTTACATGTAGAGTTTATGTCACTACAAATCTGTAAAGCATCTTTTTCCTAAATTCATTTATGGATTTTATAATAGTAATAAACCATGATATATTTGCATAATGTTTTTTATGGAACTGATTATTTGTATTGGTAAAACATTTAAATTAAAAAAAAAAAAAAAAAAAAAACTATCTTTTTATTATATGTTAACGTGATAGAGATAATTTAATTTGAAACTTGTGGTTGTTTATTTGAAAATGTGTAAAATTCGTTGGGGGGAAAAAAATATGCAAACCTTATATACAACTAGTCAAAAAAGATTGGTTGAAATTGAACTTGAGAAATGCAGTTATGCTACCCTTATTATGTAAACACAATACCCCTGACATACAGCTGCATTAATATAAACTGCCTTGATTCAAGCATGTGGTCTGACACCTACGTTTTTAACACAATTGACAATTCCATGCTTAACGCCCAACTCTTTTATTTAAACTCACCTTGCATTACATGTAGACAAGTTCAAGGCACAGCAATGAACATTCAACCCTGAAATAGAAAGAGCCGTCAAGTCATTGATGCAAACGAGATAAGATTTCCTGGCACAAAGATCAGTAGCTGATAGTGATCACTTAATTATCACATAATTAAAGACGAATATATAGGAATGGCAACAGTTCAAAATAAACTTACATTTTCCTACTAGGCAGTTGTGTAAATCCAGGTAAACACTTTCTGCAGCATCCCGTGGCCCATCTTCACTAGTGACAATGTCAAGCTCACATTACACCTGAAAGGAAAATGCCACACAATAATACACTTATATGGGATGATCAAAATATTACACAGGGAACTATTCACATAAAAAATCTTTGTCCCTTTTCTCATTGAGACAAGTTGCAACAGTTGCTAACTTGTCTCACCCAAAAGAAAAGAATACGATCTACTTCCACTTGACGACCAGAAAGGAACAAATCCACCCTGGTGCTTTTGGGAAGACAAGTCATATTAACTGTAAATACTAGTTTACTAGGAAGTAAATTCTACTTCCAGCCACTCTTCCCAGTCTTTGCCTTCTTTTGTTACTTCCAACTCAAAGCAGCAGCACAGGGGCCAAAGGAAGAGGACAAGAACCTTATTTAACCAAGAAAAATCTAAATTTGACAGATCACAAAATATTATAACAATTAAGAATTTCTCGCTATAACGAAGCAAAATAAACATACGACATACTAAATGAGGTACGCATTTTCTTTTAAATCCAAGCATTCCAAACTGCTACTTTTAATCCAACACAGAGGAATCACTATTGTGATACATCAATGAAAAAATCCACAGCAGCAGTGATGAGGATGCGCACCTGTGCGCAGGTCCCTGCCCCACTTTTGATCTAACAAAATATAACTAATACAAAACTAGTAGAGATAATTTAAAACAGGAGATCACTAGATTCTACAATATGATTATAAACTAATTTACTACAGGTAATAAGCACAAAGTTACTAGCTGTACAATGCTGAAATAGCCGAATATGAATACAGTAGAAAGAATTGTCCTATTTTGGAGAAAAAAAAAAATAAATAAATAAAAATAATGAACTTACAATTAATTACCTTGAGAATAGGGCATCAGTCTTCAGCAATGGAGATATCAGGCCACTTCCTGCAGATTTCAGTATTGCCATCAGTCAACGTAAAAAAATGTATCAATGATTTATTTTTATTAAAGATCTAATACAACTCATGACATCAAACCATTCATATTTCAGGGGCACTATAACTTTGTTCATTATAGCAGCCATCATTGAAGCTATATAAAAAAATAAATGCATGAGAAACTTGCCAGCATTTTCAAGGGAGAACATCATAGGCCTTCCTTTACACTACCTGCAATTATAATACAGGTATTAATATTAATATAGTAACAATTAATAAATACTGTATGCAGTTCTTCAGAGATCTTGGTGGAATGTAATCAAGCCTATCATTAGTAGCAAATAATTTTCATCATGAATGTTTCCATAGTGAATTAACTAAAGATCAACAATGATCCACTGACCAAAACAAGACTTACTTGAATGTATTGGTCATTAACAGCTCACTTCCAAGACCTAAAGAGAAAAAATTCTCTATAAAACACTAGACGCAAATTATAAACTGGTGTTAAACATAAGAGGCATCAGAGATCTTGGTGGAAATGTAATCACAAATCATTAGTAGCAAATAGTCATCATGGTTACTTAATATGCAATTGTATTTATAAAAAAAATTTGAATAATTAAAAGGATATAATGGCATATATGTCTAGCAACAAATTTACTAGTTATGTTCTTGTTCCACTTATTTTAAATTAGGCATAGCAAAGGATGTAGAAAAACCAACAAAATCCTATAGCAAGATAAACACACTGTACTAACCTGCAATAAAACTGCCGTAGAAATCTATGCATCCTCCACCCAGGCATTTCTTTTGATAGGAGAAAAAAAATTAAATAAATACATGTGGCACAACATATAACTACAGTATTAAATATTTAAAGGGCATCAGAATGTTGGGATACCGAGTCAACAAAAAATTCAGGCGAAAGATGGACGATCATCATTTATATAAAAAAAATTAAACCATTTGGATATAAACTCGTGAGTATGTGCAAAATTAAATCTCACAATAGCATTATTTGTTTTTTTTTAGTTATCACAAGTATATAATGAGCCACGAGTACGAACCTCCTGCCAGAAAAAATAAATCCTTACCAATTTTTTGAAGAATTCATTAACATTGAAGGTGGTTTCCTCTTCAAATAGCTCTTTCAGTTGTCAATCATTATGAACAATTGGGCTAGCATACCAAACCATCTACTTTCAGTATGACTGAACATCCCTGCAAAATATATATGCAATCAAGTTTCCAAATAAAAATTTCACTAAAGTACTGTGTGATATGACAAATCAGTAAAAAATTAGAGTGTAAGGTTGATCAATCACTTTTTATCATACATGGTTATCATCATGTTCTACAGAAAAAACTTTTATTAAGAAACTTAATGGTAAAAGAAAATTGAAAGAAAATTCCACAATAGCAAAGTGAACCGACAGCATTAATGAAATTCTTTAGGGTTTTCAGTGCAACCTTGATTTAGACGATTATATGGGACCAATCCAGACGTTAAAAGACATTATAGTACTGTACTGCATTTTGCTTGAATCTTCAAGATACACCATTTCTAATTAATATACCCTTCCTTGACATTGACACCCTTCAGATGTGCACGCAACACTTTCGCACTTTGGGCGAGCGAGCACCAGACCACCTCAAGGTGGGCCGGGTATTCCACAGGAGCAAGGTTTTCTATTTTTTCACAAATTCTTGTCCCAGGTTTTTAATTTTGGTATCAATGTGTTCTCAATAGAACTAACTACAGGAATATATACATAAAAAGTCCACAAACAAGGTACATCACCTGCACCAAACACAAATTGGCAGCACGTTACCTGTGAGCGCACAAGAGCAAAAAATGTGTGTACTCTTATCACGTTGGTCACCTCAATTCTCATCCTAGGTCTTTCATTTTGGTATGAACGTGTTCACAATAAAATTCCCCAAGGAGTATATGCATATAATGTCAAAAGCGAGGCGTGCCCCACCTGCAGCCAAGCCGAAAGCAGACCGAACTTTATAATTTTTTGGCACACAAATGGGTCATTCCCACACATGTCCCCCACAATAAATTTTTCACAATACTGCGTCGTGCCCATGCTAAAGTGCTAGGGAACGGATGTGGCAATCGACCAACAACTACAATGCAAGGTTGACAACCCTCCTGCTCATGTTATTTTCTGTTACAAAGAAACTTTTCTATTAGTATTAATTGAAATGTTTCATCACTGTTCAGTTTAGAGAATTGCATAATGTATGGGTAGAGGAGTAAGGGGGGGAGGTGAGGTTATCTTGAGATGATTTCAGGGCTTTAGTGTCCCTACAGCCCGGTCCTCGACCAGGCCTCCACCCCCAGGAAGCAGGCCCGTGACAGCTGACTAACACCCAGGTACCTATTTTACTGCTAGGTAACAAGGGCATAGGGTGAAAAAACTGCCCATTGTTTCTCGCCGGCGCCTGGGATCGAACCCAGAACCACAGGAACAAGTCCAGCGTGCTGTCCGCTCGGCCGACCAGCTCCTAATGGAGCCGGTCGGTTATAGCCCAATTACAAACTGATGATTTAGGGCCAAAATATAAATATTTGCAACTTGCTCACATTTCAGGTAGTGGGTGATGTGATTTTACCAAACAGTGAAATGGGGGTAGTTCATAGCATTGCCAATGGAATTTTCTGTCATATGTAATAATCAAGACATGTTTTTAGTGTACAATTGTAAGTGGAGATACTCCAGACGGAAGATTGCCAAGTTACTTGCACTAACTACAAATTTAATAGTTATCTCCTTGTTTCACAAATGTTAATTGAGCAAATCTCAGGATTCCCTCTCCAATATGTGCAAAGATAGTAAAAAAAAAAAAAAAGGAATACTTCAATTACAAGTACAGTACTGTATTTATGCAAGTGCATAACACTGACCTGCATGTATAGAAGCAATAACAGTCCCATCCAACTTGAAGCTTCAATCATCCAAGCAATCCTTTGAAGAAAAGGAAATGCATTTAACACAAGCAACATACATCGGATAAAATAGTTATACAAAAAGCAATCAGAATGTTGGGGTACAGTCTACATAAGATTCAGGCGAAAGATGGACGAGCATCATTTATCAGAACACGTTACTTAAACCAGTAAATGTTAAATGAATTCCATATTATATAAAAACAAAAATCACACAGTGAATGACGCGCAGTATGAAGAGAAGTTATGCCAATATTGTCAAGTCCACTTGACAATGTTTGCATCTAGCTATCCCAGACATCAGATGTCAAGACAATTCAAGAGAAAAATCTTCATGTGCAAGCCGACTACCATACTGTTGGACATGTATATAATACTTATTATAACACTGATCAACCTTAGAATCATTAACCAAAATACAGTGCACTTTTATTTAGTTCTCAGCAGAATTAATTTTATTTACTCATCATAGCTCAAATTGAGAAAAAATAGGCAATGAAAAACAATTGCACATCATACCTGTAGCACATCTATTCTTCCATTATGACTGAACATCCCTGCAAAAACAAAAATATATAATCAGTTTCTAAATTAAAACTTTAAAAGCACACAGTTTGAAAGAGCAATCAGTAAAAAATTAGAGTGTATGGTTAAATAATCACTTTGTATCATATATGGTTATCATCATGTTCATTAAAGAAAAATTGCATAACTGAAATACAATTCCAGGCTTAACACCCAAGTCTTCTATTTAAACTCACCTTGCATTATATGTAGACAAGTTCAAGGCACAGCAATGAACAAGATTCAACCCTGAAATAGAATGAGCCGTCAAGTCATTGATGCAAACGAGATAAGATTTCCTGCCACACAAAGATCAGTAGTAGCTGATAGTGATCACTTAATTATCACACAATACATTATCATCACATAATTAACACTTTCGCGCTCCCTGGGATGGTTAAATAAAAAAGCGGTATGTGCGCGGTGCGTTTTTGATGCGTGAGCGTAAAAACAAAAATGTGTATACTCTTTTTACTCTCCTTACCTTAGTTCTTGAGCTACGTATTTCATTTTGGTACCAACGTGTTCGCAATAAAATTATCTAGAAGAACATCAGTAAAAAAAGGTCACGAAACGTATAGGGATACCAGCACCAAATAAATAACTACGAAGATGACTCGCTGTGAGTGCCCAACAGCAACAAAATGTTTTTACTCTTGGGATTGTTATCACCTCCACACTTGTCCTACAGCGTTAATTTTGGTATCAATGGACTTGCAATGAAATTCCCAACACGGTGATATGAATATAAGCGTAGAATAATGATTGCGGCCCGCCCGCAAGAATGTGGGAAGTGGTGAAATTGTTACCCAGTATCGGTGACGGGACGACGCATTGAAAGTTTATACTTATTTCACTCTCATGACATTAATTTTCTATGTACGTCATTCATTTTTGTGTCAATGTATTTGCAATAGAGTGGTCTATGAGCCTGCAGGTAAAAAAGATCAACAAAGCGTAAGATAGAATAGCGCCAAATATAAAACAACGCTGGAACATATCAGCGAGCGTCAAACACACACGAAATGTTTTTACTTTTGTTATGTTTGTCAAGTTTATACTTGTTGCACAGTTATTTTTGGTTTTACATTGATCGGAATAAAATTCCCTAATCAGACATATGCATATAATACCCGATATGGTGGAAGCATTACCAGTATAAACGTCTAAAGTCACCCACCTGCAACCCGTTTGGGACATAATACCATTTGATCGAAGTGGTCCATACCTTTCATGAACTTATTGTACCATGCAGCCTAGTGGTGAGAGAGCCTCATGGCGCGCAGTTTGAAACAAACCCAAAGTAAATCGGATAAAAATTGAATTTTATACAAATATTTTAAAAGAGGACATAACTATGTCCACCATGCGGGAGCGGTTGGCAAAACAGGACTCCTCGGCGAGTCCTGATCCCGCGAAAGTGTTAAATACATATGAATATATAAGAATGGCAATAGTTCTAAATAAACTTACATTTTCCTACTAGGTAGTTCTGTAAATCCAGGTAAATATTTCTGCAGCATCCCGTGGCCCATCTTCACTAGTGACAATGTCAGCTCATATTACACCTGAAAGGAAAATGCCACATAATAATACGACATCTTACACTTGAAGATGTTCTAAATATTACTCGGGGAAACTATTCGCATTTAAAAAAAAATCTTTGTCCCTTTTCTCATTGAGACAAGTTGCAATAGTTGCTAACTTGTCTCACCCAAAAGAAAAGAATACGATCTACTTCCACTTGACGACCAGAAAGGAACAAATCCACCCTGGTGCTTTTGGGAAGCTAATGATATTAACTGTATATACTAATACATCATTCTACTTCCAGCTACAGTCTTCCCAGCTTAGTGCCGTGTTTTGTTACTTCAAACCCAACGCAGCAGCCCAAGAGCCAAAGGTACAGCAGCACTATTTGACCAGGCAAAACTTAAATTTGACAAATCACTAAATATTTTAATAAGAGGAATAATAAATTCTCACTACAAAGCAAAATAGTAAACATGGTCATTCTAAATTAGGTAGGCGTTTCTTTTAATTTCAAGCTCTATAAACTGCTACTTTTGATCCAATACAAAGAAATCATTGTAATATATCTGCGAGAAAATCCACAGCTGTGACGAGGATTCAAACCTATGCACTGGTCCCTAGTGCACAAGTTACTTATGAATACAAAATCAGCAGAGAATTTAAAAGCGAGATCACTAGTCAATCTACAATATTCTTATAAAATACAGTTTACTACTGATAAAAGTTTAAGAATGAGTTACCACATTTACAATGCAGAAATGGCCAAATCTGAATGCAAAGACATTTCCTAATTATTTGGCAAGTCAAGCCAATAACAAAAAACAAAACTTAATTACCTTGAGAATAGGGCACCAGTCTTCAGCAATGGAGATATCAAGCCACTTCCTGCAAATTTCAATATTGCCCTTAGTCGTAACAATTTAAAAAAAATTCTGTATCAATATAATTTTTTTATTTAAAAGCTAATATAACTGAAGACATCAAACCATTCATATTTCAGGGGCACTATGAATCATCAATATGTTCATTATATAGTAGCCATCATTGAATATATATATAAAAAAAAGGGCACGAGAAACTTACTTACATTTTCAATGGAGCACATCATAGGCCTTCCTTTACACTACCTGCAAGAATTATAATATTAATAAATATTAAAATGGTAACAACAATAAAAACTTTATACAGTTCCTCAGAGATCTTGGTGGAATGTAATCAAACCTATCATTAGTAGCAAATAACTTTCATCATGAATGTTTCCATAGTGAACTAACTAAAGATCAACAATGACACACCAAAAGGATACTTACTTGAATGTATTGGTCATTAACAGCTCACTTCCAAGACCTAAAGAGAAAAATTATCTATAAAACACTAGAAGCAAATTACAAACTGGTGTTAAACATAAGAGGCATCAGAGATCTTGGTGGAAATGTAATCACAAATCATTAGTAGCAAATAGTCATCACTGTAATGTAGTATTCAAGTGCATTTATAACAAAATTTAATACTTAAAAGGATATAAAGGCATATATGCCTGGCAACAAGTTTACTAGTTATCTCTTTGTTCCATTTATTTTAAATCTGGCACAACAATGTAGAAAAATATAAAAATGAACAAAGCCATATTAAAAGCATCTATATAAACACACTGTACTAACCTGCAATAAAGGGGCCAGAAAAATCGATGCATCCTCCACCCAGGCATTTCTTTGGATAGGAGAAAGAAAATTAAGTTAAATACATGTGCCACAAAGATTACATACTGTAGTTATATAAAGGGCATCAGAATGTTGGGATACCGAGTCAACAGAAGATTCAGGCGAAAGATGGACGATCATCATTTATAAAAAAAAAAAAAAATCTTTAAAAACAATTACAAAATTAAGTGATGGCATGTGCAAATATAGCATTTTTAATTTTCATGCAACAATAATATTTAATAATTTGTTTTGCAGTCATCAGCACCACTTTAGTATATAATGAGCTATGAACCACCTGCTGGAGAACAAAAATCCCTACCAACTTCCTGAAGAATTCATTGTTATGGAAAATCAGTAAAAAAACTAAAGTGTAAGGTTGTGCAATCACTTTTCAATACACGATTATGTTTTACAGATAAAATTTTATACAAGAAAATTCCACTATAGCAAAGCAAACCAACAGCATTCACAAAATTCTTTTGGAGTTTCAGTGCTACCTTGATTTAAGGAATTATATGGGACCACTCCAGATGTCTTCAAGAGTTAGATGGGGCAATTTTATAAAACCATGATAAATACATTGTTATATACCACTTTACACTAATGAACTATCAGAGATCATTTGCTAAATTTAAATTCATGATTATTATATCACTTAAAATGTCTTTGTCAACAACAAAAAGGTCAGACAACAAACAAGCAAACCAGAAGTATACGTGCCTCACTTAGACGGTCGTACAAACTTGGCCTGAACAAAGATCCTCTGAGCATTAATCCCCTCCTTTTTATTAACAGTTTGGCGAGACACATAACCAACACTGGAAGCCACAAACCCAGCTTCTTCAAACAGCAAGCACATCTCTGTGTCCGTGAAATAGTAGGCCCTGAAATGGGGAAATCCATCATGAATATCCAGGATAATTATATATATACACACATACACTGATATTTTGAAAGAATTTAACAAGTACATGGAAGCCAATTTCAGGAAGATGGAATGAAGATTTGGATAAATTTGTGGATTTAAAATAAAATGGACGATATTTTATTAATCAGAGTTTGCAAACAGCAACTAAAGCAACAAAATCCTCACCTTGTGCCATCCTGACGAACGTAGAAGCGTTCGCCCAATTTGCTTCCAGGGCCAAATCTCAACATGGCCATATCGTACAATCCATAATCCCGAACCAAAACCATTCCTCCGGGTTTCAAGCACTCGTACAAATTGGATACAACGGTTTTAAACTTTTCTGGGTGTATAGCCGATAAGACAAATATCATGCTGATTATGTCTACTTCACCACTTAATTTGCCTCTCAACTCATCCTGTAAAGATACAGTACATATACAATCATTATACCCCATAATTTGTCGGGCAAAAAATTTATGTACAATAGTATAAAAATTTGTCCAGTTGTACAACATTTTAGCATATGCATATTAAATAAAAATCCCAATTAAACATCTGGAGACTTTAAACAAGTGGCTTCAATTACCAATTAGGTAAAATTTACTTTTATCAAGGCTGATTATTAAGAGTACTAAATGTACAATTACAATAAGTTTGAAAAATCTGTACCTTTGTAATGTCACACTGAAATACATCCATCTTTGAAGCATCATACAGGGAGTGACTCTTGACAAACTGAACAGCACGGGGTGAAAAATCACAGGCATAAATGAAGAGGTTCAAGCGTTCTTCCAGTAATGGATAAAGGAAGTTCCCCACACCACAGCCAACCTGAAAAGGAATCAATATTTCAAAATGGAACTTACAATAATATGTAAAGGAAGAGCAGGTTAATAAGTTATAAATAGCAAAGAAACTAGTAATTTTAATTTTAGAATGAAATGCTGTAATTGTACTTATAACCAAGCAATCGGAATTATAAAAATGTACATGCATCTTACCAGCATGATGTGTCAACAAAATTTAAAATTTTACCAGTTAAATTACATTTTCTTCATAAACTAAGAATGTAGTGAAAGGGCCAATGACTAAAATGATGAAGGCTCAAGTAATACCTACTTCTAACAATGAACGAGTCTTCTCCCCATCACCAATAAGCTCTTGAAATTCTCTTGTGGTCCAATGACGATCTTTGAAGAATCTAGCCATAAAAAACTTTGTTAGTCTCATTGGGATGATAAATATTAATGAACACCTTATTGAAGGTGTTTAGATTTCAATAAGTAGAAGCCAGATATACAAAAAGTGAATGAATGAAAAAAATATATATATGAAGTCAATGGAAGAGCAACATACCTTGTTTCATTGCGCTTATAAAATTTATCCCAATTTGCAACAGCCTCCTTCTCTAGTTTCTCTTGCTGAAATTCTCCAACTATGCCACGTAAGTCTTGGCGATGCAAGCGCTCTACTTCTGAAGCATCTAACGTACGCAAACAGTGGCCAACTTCATTGCTTATATTATCTTTCAAATCTATATTCAGCTCAGACATTTTACCTGTAATATTTAAGAGTCTTAATCACAAAACACCAATGTGTGTCATCTATAACTAATGCTCATGTACCAGATGTTGGATACAATAATATTAGTATACCACAAACAAACACCTTACCATAGTTGTGCATGTTCAACTTCATGTAACTATATTCCAAATAGTACAAACAAATTAGGCCTGCAAGGTGTCATTACATAATTGCTCTCAATAGACATCTTAAAATTAACTAATCAACCTTAATTATTTTTTATATTATATATATATATATACAGGCCACAGTAAGGAGAAAATATTTACTTCGAATTATATACTAATATGGATAACATTAATTAAGGTGTCTTTTGGCTACACATCCAGCCCATTCTCTATTTCTCACATGCAGGCACGAACCCAAGCCATCCCATCTAACCTAATCAACCCATGAACTGAAAATGTGAATATTTGCGAGCCTTTACTTTTTACAGTACAATACCTCCTATGTCAGACGTATTAGTCGTTATGAGGACGGGTTTACTTATCACCAGGTTTGATTCCCAGTCAAGCATAAACATGGTTTCTTCTACCTGATGTCCCTGTTTGCTTACACCAATAGGTACCTATCCCAGATAGATAACATTGCTACAGACTGTATCCTGAGGATTTGTTAGTAGAGCTTGGTCCCAGATAGCTTGGGTATCCCTGCATGTATAATTACATACCCTTTCAGTACCAATATATTTCATGAATGTAAACCAATTCATTAAAAAATCTAGCATGCCTGTTACAGACATGAATGGTTATGCATTTTCTGTACATGTCCTGGGAGAGAATAGATGCATACTTTTCAGTGTGAATGACTGCAAAATATGCCACTGAAGTTCACCAAGAATGGGGAGAATGGAGGCTAAAGTAAATACTATCATAGCTACTAACTAAATATAATTACAAGTTACACAATTTGAAATATTTCTATCCCTCTTCTCATTGAGAAAAACTGCAAAATCTGCTAATTTGTCTCACCCACAAGAAAAGAATATAATCTACTTCCACTTGACAACCAGAGAGGAACAATTCCACTGTGGTGCTTTTGAGAAGCAATGCTTAAAATAAAATACATAATTTATGTTACAAGTATATAGAGTATTTACTATCGATACAAAATCTTACCAATTATGAAGCATTAGATCAGGGATCCCATTCTGGCCTAGCTATGTCCAGAATAGGATTAAAAAAATTCCAATACATTGCCAGATGCAAAATGGGTCGCATGTTTTTATTGGAATAATGTTTACTGAGGTGGCTCATGACCTGGCAAAATATGTAGATACAGTACCTAGTGTGTCAATCACAAAAATGAAAAATGTTTAGGTACAATAAAGAGTATGCAAGTGGAAACATGAAGCACTATGTGAATTGCCAGTCAGTTATTTAACTTACAGCACAGGAAAAACATCCATGCATCAAGATTATACAGTACACAAATGTTACATTGAATCTGGATTGTGCAGATTGTGAGGGCATGTGCTCTGACGACATGGTGCACAGGCTTTTGCCTCTCCCATGTTTTTGAGCACTTGTTAACTTTTTGTATTACAGTATATACAAAATATTTAAATTAATACTAATATACACATAATATTCAAATTAAGCATTCATTAATAGTGTTCTTGTGTTCATGTAAACGAATATTTTGCCTTCCAAGAGAGAACAAGAGAAAGAGGGAGAGAAAGAAAAAAGAGCAAGAGAAAGAATAAGAAAGTAAGAAAGAATGATGGGAAAATAGCCCAAGCAAGCTCATCCCTTCGATTATATTAAATTCTAAGATTTACCTCATAGTTACAGAACTGGTTGCATGTCAGGTGGGACAATGTAACCTGGTGTGGCATGCCAGGTTCCTGAAAGACAAATTTCAATGGTGGATTTCTGCCATATGCAGTTACAAATATTATATTTTGTACATATGTTGCCCAGGACACGGCTCGTGGAGCCAATCCACCTTGTGTCCCTTGTGTTTTTGAAAGTTTCTAATTAACACAAAATTGTTGAATCTATGAAATTTTCAAAGTTTGCACATTTAATGGCTATAGCATATATTTTTGGCTTGCATCCTCCTTCATTCAGCATGCTATGCTCTACACACAATAAATGTGCACATTATAATACCATAGAACAATGAAACGACAAAATTTGATCGAATCCACGATCACAAACAAATCCAACATCTATATTCAGTACATGCTCAATGTGCATCCAGCATATATATACATTCAACTTATATCCAAGATTGACATTTAGAACACCTGAATGATTTACAAATATGGTAAACATTCAGTGCAAACTGAATAAGAGTGCTCTGCACAGATTGGTTTGTCACAATTTGTGCAAGACTTCTTTTTCTTCTTATTTATATTCATAGAACAAAATCCACATTTTCTTTTCTTCTCCTCTCCTTCACTCTGGGTTACTGACGGCCTATCTTCTCTGTTTAGAAAAGCCTTCACGCACATTTTGACATGACATGGCATAAATCTTCCATATGACTGAGAATATTGTTTGATCTGTGGCAAGCACAATCTTTCTGCCAGCACCGTTAGGAATTTCCTTCGCTGTCTAGGTCCTTCATATGCTGTGGGATTCTTCTCCGTGAAACTCACAAAAGAATTGTAACCGGCAATGTCAACCATCCAATAGAAAACTACCAAAGGCCATCTATTTGAGATGCGCTTACAAGTGTAGTTCTTTACAAGCACGTCTAGTTGATCAACGCCACCTTTTGTTGCATCGTAGTCTAGTATGACATGAGGCTTGAAAGGATCTTTTTCCTGTACATCTTTGTTAAAGTGCATTGAACTTAACATCAGAACAGCTTTCCCTTTCTTAGGGACGTAGCTGCAGATCATAACACGTTCTTCCTTAGAAAAACCAAATTCGGTTGAGTAGATCTTACGGCCCTTTGATCGTTTAAATGAGGAAGGAATTTCCGGTTTATTCCTCCTCAAAGTTCCAAGCAGTGTCAGATTTTTGTCAAGAAGTGATTTGGCAAGGCTGAAGTCAGTAAACAAATTACCTGTAGTCACATTTCTTCCAGTGTTTTCAATTGTTGCAATGAGATCATGTACAACTCTCTGGGGATTTGTTTCAGCTTGTCCAACTTTCTCCCTATAGATTTGAGCATTCAGAAGATAAGCATTTGTTGCATCAGCCATGCTCCACACTTTTATGCCATACTTATCCGTTTTTTGGGGCATATACACCTTGAATGGGCATTTTCCTCTAAATGGTAGTAACAACTCATCAATAGTAACGTACGCACTAGCCTTGTAGTTGACTTGACATGCCTCAACAAACCTCTCAAAAACATCATGTATAGGTGCCAGCCAGCCTTGTTCCCCAGACTTTCGCTCCATTCTGGTGTTCATGTCGTCAAATCTGATGCACTTCTTAATTTGTAGGAAACGGGCACGACTCATGGTAGCTTGATAAATAGGTGGACCCGTCTTGGCGCTGAACAGTTCGTCAATATGACGAAAATTATCCCTGTCGACTCCACATCTAATATGAAGTCCCAGCCAACCCATCAGTTCAACTGCATTCACATTTTTCCAGTTTGCACCATGCACAACACTTCCTCTTTGATTTGTTGCTTTCAGAGTTATTGCAATTATTTCATCAGTTATGAAAAAGTTGAAAGCGGCATATTCACTGCGTGTTGGAAAGTCACTGTGAACACCAGCCTCTTCATGAACAATATTTGGCTGCAAGTCCTTTTCAGGTCTAGGAGACTCAGCATACCACTTGGTTATTTTGTCTCTCCCCAACACAAACTTTTCTACAGTATCATCAACTCTATTTAAATTGTCACACTCCGTGTCACTCGCACTATCACTACATTCCTCATCACTCGAGGAAGGAATATGGGGTTCACAGTCATCATCAGATAAATCAGAGCACGTGTCATTATCGCCATCAGATATGGGAGGATCTTCAAGTCTCCTCCTCGCACTGTTGAATAGCTCAACAGGCAGTGACATGTCAATAATACCTAGTCTGAAAAAATAAAAAATTACTTGCACAGTATTACTTACTAGACAGGGTACCTGACAACCCCACTCAAGTTTGCTGCTCACTCTCCTAAACTATAATTTTATTTTCTATACTTTGTGGCTACGTACAAAAATCCGGACGGCCAGATCCCCAAAATAATAAACAGCAGCAGCATCAAAATAAAGCTTTGGGGGCCATCTGATGCTGCATGGTGAACCAAGGGTTAACAATCCTCGGGTCTTCAAAGCTTACATTTTAAATGCAACAAATATTACCCAATAACCTGACCATTATTAAAGTAAATGACAAAGCTTAATAATAATTAATAATTATTTAGGTAAAAGTACATGCATACAAAATGAGTTACAAGCATAATGTTGGATTTCTAGATGTCAACTAAACTAGAAAAATGACCATTACCTGTATATGTTAAATGGAACAGCAGAAATTGCAACGGAACAGCTGATAGTGTTATACAGCCGATAGCGTTATACAGCCGATAGTGTTATACAGCCGATAGTGTTATATCATTTACATTAATCACTTTAATGTTTCAATAAAATCCCATTTGTACTTGGGAGTGGGGGAGGGAGAAAAAATTATCGAGTACAATTATTTGTACATATTGACAATTCACACAAACACATGCACCGAGCACGTGTGTACAGCTCATGTTAGACACACTCAGCCATCCCGGGTTCAATTCCTCGACTCCGGCTATTTTCCTGTCACCTAATGCCTGTGTTGGTCAACTGTTGTGGTCCATCCTGGAGGTCAGTAACCCTACCTTCCAGGGGGCCTAGACATGAGCCTCAATTATATACTGCATATATATATGCCTATGCTTCCCATTTTATTTTTTTTTCCTAAACGATTTTTAATTATCAGGGGAAAGCGCCAAGCCACCACGACTACATAGCACTGGGAATGGGTCAGGATAAGGGTTTGGGATGGGACGGAGGGATGGAATGTTGGCCAACCACTTGGTGGACGGTTGGAGATTGAACGCCGACCTGCACGAGGAGACCGTTGCTCTACCACAAGGGAGACCGGCTATTCACGGTCCACGCACCGATTTCCTAGAAATAACCCCCCCCCCCCGGAGTGTAACTTTAGGTAACTTAAAGTCAAACTTTAAGGTTACCACGTTTAAAAATAAGTAAAGCCTCAAGTAAAGTTTACTTTGATACGACAATCTTTATATTGACTGATAATTGTTGGGGACAGGAAGGCTGCGTATATCACTTGTATAAACACGCGTCCTCACCCCCAGGACGCCACCCTGGGGGTGCTCTCAGGCCTGGGGGGCCACGGTTCCAACCTCCTACAGCCCACGGAGGACGGAATACAACCCACAACAGTCGCATAACTCCCGCGTACCCAGCTACCGCTAGGTGAACAGTGGCATCAGGTGTAAGGAAACCTGCCCAACAATTTATCCCGGGAACCCCCCAGGGTGTAAGTCAAGAACGAAGCCAACTATACTACCAGAAAGTCCAAATCTTTCGCTAATTAACCGTAACGAATTAACAAATGTTATGGCGATATAATGCCACACTCGCAAGCTTAAGACACTAAATAACAATTTACTTTCAAAATTAGAAAATTATGTAAATAGCCGCCACGTGATCAGCTGATCCCGCCAGCGTGGACAACATGGACTCCGGCCAAGGATATTAGATCACCGCAAATTATCCGAGTCCATCGACCTTGGAGTACAGTTTCTAAGTGCACCGCACGTGGCACACACTTTGATGAATACTTAACTTATCTTATCAATCAATATTGGGCAGTTACTCACGAAGATGCTGCCAAGACACGGCGAGATGAGGCAATGGACGCCGCTACGAGGCTCTGGTGGGTTCTGGAGGCCGCTGTGACGTCACTTCCTCGTCGCCATCACCCGCTGCCACAATATTCAGAAAACCCATCAACAACATCTTATTTATATTAATACTACAAATAAAATCAAGAAATTATAACTCTAAACCACTATAAATAATATTATATATCATTTAAGTGTAGATAATTGTAGAAATATTAGTTAATAATGCCAATAAAAACGAGATAAGTAAAACTAATGGTTTCTACCGGTATTCATGATGTAGGAAGACGTGGACCAATGGGAGAGTCAAGAGTATGATGACGCTGACCAATGAGAGTGCGAGGAGTTGTACCACGTGGTCTAAGGCGACCAATGAGAGAGGTCCACGAGACCCAGCAGACGATACTTGTAGCTCCTCACCGGCCTGACTCCACTAAGTGTCACTCACCCTCCTCCACCGTCAGGGTCTCCTTCCCTAGTGTTGTAGTGAACGATTGTGACTGGTATAGACTTCTGTGCCACCTTCTACACGGTAAGGTGGTGTGGTTGTTGTAGGGGGGCTGGTGGTTGTGGTAGCTGGCTAGGTCTGGGTATTGATTTTTGTGTTACCGGTGAGAGTGGGTGTAACCTATGGTGGCAGGGTATGGCTATTGTGGGGTAGACTTCCCCAGTATACTTGGACTGTCACAGTATGTAAAAACTTTTTAAATAACGTAAAAACTGCAATTTAAGTTGGTAAAGCGTTGTTTATTGTAGGTTACTAAGGTGACGCACTGAAGTCTTCTCCCGGTGCCTTGTAATGGCCGTGTTGTGCTATAGCCAACACTATAGTGTTGTGGTGGTGCCTATAGCAGCACACGGCTGCCTATAGTGCCGTGGTGCCTATAGCACACGGCTGCTATATGTTTGGTAATTGTCTACGTGTAAATATTTGTGAAAACATTACTGATGGTACCCTGAGGCTACAGCCTACCTAGAGGCCTATGTAGTTACCATAATTTATTAATGAAGTTTTGCTTTTTAATAAAATTTAGAACCATTTGAAGAATATGAATTATAAACTTGATTATGTATAGTTTAGAATGTCAACAATGTTGTCCAACCAGTGTAAAGCTGTCATCTATGGCTGCTGTAGACGGTCTTGCATTACAGAAAGATTTTAAGTTTAATGGTTAAAATGTCGTTGGCCCGGGCCAAAAATGTACATAAAGCAACATCTAACGAAGTTCTCATGCTTGCAGGAATGAGGTGTGCGAGAGTGCTGGCCGTGGTGGCCCTGGTGGCCGCGGTGGCCGCCAAGGAGAACAAGAAGGAAGACGTCGGCACCGTTATTGGCATAGATCTTGGCACCACGTACTCCTGGTGAGTCAACTGGTGGCTTGAGGCCTCCCTTGAAAAGATTGTTAGGAAAATATTGTTTCTAGGTCATGGTTGGCGAAGTTTTAATTTTATTTTTGGGTATGACTTTCATATTTGCAAAGTTTGTGTGGCTTACTGTATTTGAGGTCTCCTAATTACTTGTATGGGGGAGGAAGCAAAGCAATAGTTTGCTTTACTATGCAGACCTGAGATGGCATAACTTGATGTAGACCACAACACAACTGTTTATTGAACTAAGAGTGCTGTAAGTGCCATAGTGTTAGACAAGTCTTGGGAGGGGGGGGGCATTAAACTAGAACCCTGAAGGTAACTGGCCAAAAGTGTACTAGTTACTATTAAAAGTTAACATATACGGCACGCATAGACGAGATAAAACACCTAAATTATTGGGATCGTCTCAAAGCTCTCCAAATGTACTCTCTAGAAAGGAGACGAGAGAGATACCAAATAATATACACCTGGAAAATACTGGAGGGTCAGGTCCCAAATCTACACAGTAAAATAACAACGTACTGGAGTGAACGATATGGAAGAAAATGCAAGATTGAACCTGTGAAGAGCAGAGGTGTCATAGGCACAATCAGAGAGCACTGTATAAACATCAGGGGTCCGCGGTTGTTCAACGTCCTCCCAGCGAGCATAAGAAATATTGCCGGAACAACCGTGGACATCTTCAAGAGAAAACTGGACGGTTTTCTAAGAGAAGTTCCGGATCAGCCGGGCTGTGGTGGGTACGTGGCCCTGCGGGCCGCTCCAAGCAACAGCCTGGTGGACCAAACTCTCACAAGTCGAGCCTGGCCTCGGGCCGGGCTTGGGGAGTAGAAGAACTCCCAGAACCCCATCAACCAGGTATCAACCAGGTAGAAGGCTTGTCTATGCAGGAAGGTATAATTTTTAAAGATTTAAAAGGAACCTTGACTAGTTGAAAAGATTCCTCCTCAGGAGGCAATTGCTTGTAATGTTAACTGCTCTAAGAGTTCCAACTACACACACCAATAGTTTAATTGCTAGACCAAATTACTAGCTTGTTTGAATTTTGTGCATTGCACAATGTAAATCTGCTAAATAAAATTTGCATTATTCTACGAAACTTAGCCACTTTGCCTTTTTAAATCTTTAACCTTTAAAAGGTGGCAACCCATTTAAAAATGTTGCTAAGCTATGAATACTTCAAAAATGCTTTAATACTTTAAATTTGAATAATCTTTTGGTTTAAAGATCCATTTAAATTTCTTGTATTGTATTTAACAAGGGCATAAAATGCTCATACCAGGTTAGTTTAAAATTTTCTACTTAGATTCGGATGGTAAAATATTGTTACTATAGCATAACTATTAATTTCTCTTTACAGTGTTGGAGTCTTCAAGAATGGCAGAGTAGAAATCATTGCAAATGACCAAGGCAACAGAATTACTCCCTCCTACGTAGCTTTCACAGCCGACGGGGAAAGACTTATTGGAGATTCTGCCAAGAACCAGCTGACTACAAATCCTGAGAACACCATCTTCGATGCAAAGCGGCTAATTGGCCGCGAATGGTCGGATAAATCTGTTCAACATGACATCCAGTTCTTCCCCTTCAAAGTTATAAAGAAAAATGACAAGCCGCACATTCAGGTCTCTACATCACAGGGTGACAAGGTGTTTGCTGCTGAAGAAATTTCTGCCATGGTGCTAGGGAAAATGAAGGAAGTTGCAGAAGCTTACCTGGGCAAGACCGTCACCCATGCTGTCGTTACTGTACCGGCTTATTTCAACGATGCTCAGCGCCAGGCTACAAAAGATGCTGGCATCATCGCTGGTATGACGGTTATGAGAATAATTAATGAGCCAACTGCAGCAGCCATTGCTTATGGCATTGACAAGAAAGATGGAGAAAAGAACATTTTGGTGTTTGACCTTGGTGGTGGCACTTTTGATGTATCTCTGCTTACTATTGATTCTGGTGTATTTGAAGTGGTTGCCACAAATGGTGACACTCATCTTGGTGGTGAAGACTTTGATCAGCGTGTTATGGAACACTTCATCAAACTCTACAAGAAAAAGAAGGGCAAGGACATCAGAAAAGACAATCGTGCTGTGCAGAAACTTCGTCGTGAGGTAGAGAAAGCAAAGAGGTCTCTCTCTGCCAGTCACCAGGTCAGGATTGAAATTGAATCCTTCTTTGAAGGAGAAGACTTCTCTGAAACACTTACTCGTGCTAAATTTGAAGAATTGAACATGGATCTCTTCAGGTCAACAATGAAGCCTGTCCAGAAGGTGCTTGAAGATTCTGACTTGCAGAAGAAGGAAATTGACGAAATTGTATTGGTAGGCGGTTCTACCCGTATCCCAAAGATCCAGCAGTTGGTTAAAGAGTTCTTCAATGGTAAGGAGCCATCACGAGGTATTAATCCTGATGAGGCTGTAGCGTATGGTGCTGCTGTGCAAGCTGGTGTTTTATCTGGAGAAGATGACACTAATGACTTGGTATTGTTGGATGTTAATCCCTTGACACTTGGTATTGAAACTGTTGGTGGGGTAATGACGAAACTCATCTCTCGTAACACTGTAATTCCTACAAAGAAGTCGCAGATCTTCTCCACTGCTTCGGATAACCAGCATACCGTTACCATCCAGGTATTTGAAGGAGAGCGACCAATGACAAAAGACAACCACATACTTGGCAAGTTTGACTTGACTGGTATTCCACCTGCTCCACGTGGTGTGCCCCAAATAGAAGTTACTTTTGAAATTGATGCTAATGGCATTCTTCAGGTATCTGCAGAAGACAAGGGTACAGGCAACAAGGAAAAGATCGTTATTACAAATGACCAAAATCGTCTTACCCCAGAAGACATTGAACGTATGATAAAGGATGCAGAGGTGTTTGCCGATGAAGACAAGAAATTAAAGGAACGTGTTGAATCTAGAAATGAACTAGAATCTTATGCCTACAGTTTGAAGAACCAAGTTAATGACAAAGAGAAACTTGGTGCAAAGCTTTCTGATGAAGACAAAGAAAAGATTGAGGAAGCTATTGACGAGAAGATTAAGTGGCTAGAAGACCATCCTGATGTAGATGCAGAAGATTACAAGACGCAGAAAAAGGAGCTAGAAGATATTGTTCAACCAATTGTTGCCAAGTTGTACCAAGGTGCTGGTGGTGCCCCACCTACAGGGAGCACTGATGAAGAATTTGACAAAGATGAATTGTAAATATTTAGGTTATTGTGGGAATGTAACTTATTATTTGTTTAAGGTTGATGTTATTGGAAGGACATGTTCATCATCATTATCATGTATCACAGGTATTCAGCTAGATTTTCATCTCATGTTTGAGTGGGGTACCACAATGCCATGTATGTATGCACAACTCCATTCCAGTGTGATTGACTACAGGAAGAATGGTTTGTAATAAAAGGTATAAATAAAAAAATCTTTAAATTGTAATTCCTGTGCATTTTTAAAACGGTCTTGCTATGACACATGTGAACCTTTAACATTTCTGAACTGATTAGTCTATTTTAGTTGAAATAGAGCAAGACTATGAAAATGGGTAATTACTGAAAAAACTTGAAGCATTTAACCCTCTTACTTCCTCATTTAGGAGCATTAATGTTGTCTAATCTCCAACAACTTTCATAATTAGACAAAAGTACTGATTGTAAATTTTTGGTTTAAAGCAAATATGAATAATAAAGTACTGTACTAAATAGTCTAGAAGAGCTGGAAAGGAATGGTGCCAACCACTTGACACCCACCTGTGAGAAGCCTCTGCTGTACCGACCACTCTGAGGTTGGAGCAAGTGTTTCACTAAAATTTCTGATTAGTTGTCTACTTGAAGACAATAGTGGTGTTCATTGCTAATTGTGTAACTATAAGGACTAAAATACATTAGCAATGATATAATATAATGCTATGGACATGGTGTTGATAAATATTCTAGCCAAATTGGTATCAAAGCCAGTGGCTGCTGCTAGTTTGTCTTGTATAGGAAATAAATGCTAGAATTGCTATGCACTAGACTTTGAGGAATGGCTAGTTACTATTAAACTAGGTACAGTACTGTACAATCAAATGTAACTAATTCATCCTTTTGTCACTTTAAAATGTAGTGCAAAGACTGGCTAGGTTATGCATTGTCCCCACATTATCAAAATGGAGACCATTTACTGTGCTGCAGAACAATCTAAACACAAACATCATTCAGGATGCCAATTCATACACTTGTGATGTCAAAGGTATTGATTCAACAAGAATTCTATCACAAACAAAACATGCAGGGACAATGGGGAAAGCAAATTTTGAGCATCCTAACAAATTTGACATTTCAAAAAGGTGCAAAACTAAGTAGGGACAATAAAGAGCAGCCCTTTACTGGTGTTCATGAATTTGGCACATTGAGGGGGGGGGGGGGTGATGGCCTACCCAGAAGGGATTTCCTATCACAATGGGTAGGAGGATGAGCCACATTTAATAGCACTCGGCTTATCCGTAGTACCCGACCATCTGTCTTGTGATCAATTATGTTAATTGATTGGATGGATTCTTTATTAGGGAAATGGTACAGGCATGATTTGCAAGCATTTACTGGACTCCAAACTCGTGAGCATTGTTTGCTCATGTGGTAGACAAAGTTTTTGAGATCCAACATTTTTTACCCAGTTTGTCCCATGGTGATGCTATATTGACATTGATCAGTTTTATCTATTATAATGACATCCTGAATTACTGTATATCTAGATATAAATATTCTGGAACAAACAATGCTATAGACATACTTGCTTAGCACTTTTGACAATTACTTCTGATGTTAACCAAGGTAGTTGGACATTATTCCATCTTTGTAACCTTTCCAAATGCTTTACTATAGTCATAATGTACTGGCTTAGTTAGTCTTGACTCCTTCCTGGGAGGTCTTCATCAGGAGGGTGACCATAATGGAAGTTTATTCAGATGATTCAATCACCACACAAACCTTTCACCATTTCAAGCTCACTTATATCTCCATCCATATCCTTTTTTTTAATATAGTGTTCTGCTCTACTGTTCTTTAACAATTCTTAGAAACTTCACTAACACACTCATGTCGTCTCCATGTTTTGTGCTTTATCCACTACAGATTTCATTCCTTTGTACTTCATCACTGCTATACCCATCTCATAAGCTAATTCAAAAATTGTTCGCAAAAAACTAATTTCTACTGTTTGTACTTTTGAGTGCTGCAATTTTCTATACCAAAGTTTTTCTGCCATGTCAAGTATTTCTTAAACCCCATACTAACAGTTTTTCCTTTCACTATACTGCAATATTTTTGTATTTTTACCACTTCTATTTTACCTTCAATAGTCCCATTTTATCTAACATCAAGGTTCCTAAAACTTGGTACCCCTCTTATTTCTTTCCAAATTTCTATTCTAGGGGTAAAATCAGCCTTGTCACTATAGGTATCTACAAAATCCACAATATACAATTTCTGTCTCAAATAATATACCCTTACTTTTTCCTACAATGACCTTCAACTTTCTCCTTTTGCACACACATCTTATTAACAACCTTCTGCAATTCCTTTACCAACTATCTGGCAGTAAGCATCATTTTGTCAATTTAAAGAGGCACTGTAGTAAATGCCTAGGATTCTAGAAGTATCAAAAGTACTTTTTGAAGGAAGGCAGCAAGTCGGGAAGACTATTTAACCCCTCTTCTGTGTTGAGGAATATTAAAAAGTTCATAGGTGATAAGATGCAATGTGATGCTAATGCAATTCCTGGTACAATATATATTGCAATGTTTCATTATCTAGTATCCAAGTACTGTAGCAGCCTAAAGGCTTATATCTACATATGGCAGTTGAGCTCCCAAGGGGCAGTATTCAGAGTGGTGCCCCATTGGCCAATATTATATGCAAACTTCAGACTAATTTTGATGCTACATCTGTTAGATTAATCAATCTAGCACAGAAGTTAAAAATTCTCGCCCCTCAACAAAAACAAATGGAAGATGACCTATTGTGTATGAAAAAAAGATTCTGGTTCAATCCTGTCATCCTGCTCTAAAGATTTTTTTGTAGATGCATTACTTTGTGATTTCATTGCCTTAGTATGTGTATATATGAAGCTTCTTTAGTTTTTAAAACACACTAATGAAAGGCAAATTTATAATTAGAGTAGCTTGGGTTCTTTTCTGTCAAGGCATTGTCTTCAAATTTGAGTTCCTGGGTAGGGTGCAACAAGACAAATGGATAAACGGGGGTTCTGTATAGATATCAGTCATTCACTCTCATTGCAATTTCATATCAGGCCTAATATCTACACCTACATTGAAAAAATAGATCGCAAACGCCTTACATTTTTTTTATCTCAAGAGAATTACCAATCAAACTCGGTTCTTTTTTCAGGTACCGTACTCATTTGTCACTGTGCCTCCTCAACTTTTCCATAAATATAAACGGTGTTGGGAAATACAACTTTACAAGTGGTATATATAATGGTGTGGCAGGTATACAGGATAAAATAAAAACTATACAAGAGAGAAAGCAGAGCCCCCCCCCCCAATTGCATATTTGGACCTTTGAAGGAACTGTCACAAAGCTTTCTGACCAGCATTTTGAGTCCTATTGAAGTCAGATCTATGTTGCATGAGCTGTGAATCGAGAGTAATTTTTAACCGGGATGGTCCTGGAATCCGTTTTCACACCCTGTAGCCTAGGGTGTGAAAATTTGTTGTACAAATTTATTGATTGGTTTAGTCCTTTAAATTGTATTCTCATCATCAGATATTTCATATTATGTTGTTATGACTTAGGTAAAAACTGTAAATTTGTGTAAACTAACCCAACTATAAATGTACAAATATATTTAAGAATAAAGTTATCAACTGATTGGTCTATATATTACAGCTTATTATATCCTCAACCATTCACTGCTTGAGATCTTGAGATGATTTCGGGGCTTTAGTGTCCCCGCGGCCCGGTCCTCGACCAGGCCTCCACCCCCAGGAAGCAGCCCGTGACAGCTGACTAACACCCAGGTACCTATTTTACTGCCAAGTAACAGAGGCATAGGGTGAAAGAAACTCTGCTATTGTTTCTCGCCGGTGCCTGGGATCGAACCCAGGACCACAGGATCACAAGTCCAGCGTGCTGTCCGCTCAGCCGACCGGTTCCCGAATTACGTATCAGTTATAGAGGTATTAAAAAAAGGCTGCCGTTTTAATTTCCTCTCGTTCATGACAGATGAACTACAAACTCCAACACAATTAAGAACTTGAAAAGCAAAAATGGCTCTGAACTTGGCTAGTTTTTGAGTACTGTTAATTGCTTTACCTAATATTACTAGTCATAGTTCTAGGAACGTTCAGTTGGGCTTCTAGAGTAGTGTGTATCCAAAAACATTAAAAACCATAATTTAGGCTTACAGTACATATTTATTGATAAAGTTACATATAATAAAGATAAACACGTTCATTTTTACTACAATAGTTTAAATATTTAGCAAGCTGAACATATCAAACTTTGACTCAACACTTTTACAATTTTGCTACAAAACTTAAATTTGGATTTCAACCATATGAAGATGATGACTAAATTTAATCATTGACTTCTCACTCTGCCTCTTCTTCGCTGTCAGTCAGTTCCCAGATCTGAAGTTGAGAAACATTTTATAGTACTTTGTGTGGAGAAAACTTTATGCCATTTTGAACATTTTATTATAATTATTTTCTGATTGCCAATTAGGGCCATTCTATCTGGACAAAACTTAAAATGAGTGACAATATTGTACCTAGAGCAGGCTAAACCAGCTCTCACAAAGACTAATCATACGACTGATACATGTTCTCTCCCTGTACCCAAGTCTGCATCTGAATGGTGAATTCTGCTAGAGACTAGGTGAACAAATAATCCATTCACACCCCCCATCCTCAAATTTCCTGAAGTGTGGTTGTGTTCTATTTTTTTTAATTATCAGGGGAAAGTCCCAAGCCATTATGACTTTATAGCACTGGGAAGGGGTCATGATAAGGATTTGGGATAGGACTGGGGGGGGGGGGGGAGGAAGGAATGGTGCCCAGTCACTTAGACAGTCGGGGATTGAACGCCGATCTATGTTCTGTTTTGTTCTAGTGAGATCCCACTGTGTCCGTGGCACAATAGCCAACCAACAAGAGGATGGACAACCCTGAAGGAGGAGCCCAAGAACAGCAGTACTGAGAACAGTACACCTGAGCCTTATATAATGCACATAGCAACTTTTTACAGCATTTAACAGAACTTTGTTGACCTCATACATGCTCATCTCTCTCCAAAATCCTTCAATATTAACTAAGTCATATGCTTTTCCCACAAGTCCATAAATGCCAGGCACACTTTACCATACTTCTTTTTCCTCACATACCTTCTTTCTCTAATACAAGCCGCCTCAATGCAAATATCGGCTCTGATCATTTATGAAAAATAGATTAACAAATACACTAAGATATTGAAGAAGATTTTATTTTCTCCCATACACAATTCCCATCCAAAACAGCTCAACAATCCCCCATGAATGAGGTAAGTCATATTTATTTCCTGTCATTTTTTTTTTTTTTTTTTTTTTTTTTTTTTTTTTTTTTTTTTAGACAGTTATTACCTGTGAATCATCAACACATTGGTGCAGCTCACTAAGACCCGAGACTTCTTCTAGATATGCTGGAGAGTTGAAGACCTTCACTAGAAACTCAAAACCACCTTCTTTGTATGCTGCTATCACCTGCAGGAAAGACAATACATGGATAAGCTGTTCCAAAACTGGTCATGGAGTTCATATTTTGTAAAATTTATGAGTACGCCAGTTAGTAAATTTAAATGTGTTTTGAATTATGAAGATAATTTTTTTTTGGTCAAGAAAAATGCTAGAAATGTTGCTAGATAAATAAGTTACCTGCCGCCATTGCAGAAAAAAATACTAATTCCCTTGTGAATTGAGATCAGTAATAATGTACATTTGGTCATCATCTAGACTTTCATTCAAGGAATAATACAAATGAGCAAATGTATCAGCACTGAATACTACCGTGAAGCATGAAAACCAGTCAATAAGGTTTGATACAAGAATATTTTGTACTGTCGGAAGCAAGCACACACGAAATTGATTAATCAATTACTGTACCTTATCAGAACAACCAGAGCACTGTTGAAATGCTGTTGAAGCAGGAGTTAAAAGCTTATGTCTTCCTAAAAACCCTCGTATAGAATGAGGTACTGGACCTAATACCCCTTCTTTGACATCAGCGTCATTCAGGCTTGCTTCGGCAAGCCCTCTGAGAGAAAAAAAAAAAACAGTTCTGTATTTGTATAGGAAAAATAGGTTTGTGTATTATAGTATATGAAAAATTGCTTTCTGAACAGGAACTGTGCCTTGCAGTCAGGCAGGGTGATATTCTGGTACTAGTACAACAGGGAAATATTCAAGCAGCCCCTGTTGTGATAACTGTATTAGGAAGTGACCTCTAGAAGATTTAATTCAAGTATAAATTCTAAGTCTTTCCAAGCTCCTCCTTGCCATCACAGACCACCAAGGAATATGACAACAACCAGTTGGCCTGCATGGTCACTTACCAAGGAAATGGTGAGGTTGACATGCAGAGTTCAGCAAAGGGATTAAATCTATTCCCAGGATACTTTTCATATACTGAAAGAAAAAGGCTGGGCTATAGAAGCCTTTAACACCCTTGAGGAAGAAAGGACCACTCTCCCAGCTGCAGATTGGAGTTATGTAGAAGACTGCTGCAGAAAGGCTCAGGCCTTTCGGCCGTATCCTCCAGAGACAACGAAGGTACAAGGCTCCCAGCATCAAACAACCCATGCCCACCCCCACCCTCTCATCAATCACTGAAGTGAGAGACTACTGTTGCAGACCCATTACAAGAAGGAAATCCAGGTGCTTGTCAGTTCCCCAGGAGCAGCAGCCTAGACACCAAAATGCAGGAAGTGAGCAATGCTTTTCCAGGCCAGGTGCTGTGATTTGCAAGGGTAAGGTCCAAAATGACCCTATTCTCCTCTAAAAAGAGGGAAGACAACAAAGAATCTGCATTAGCCAATACCTTTGACCTGTATTACTGGAGCTTCATTGCACAAGTCCATTGGTGAGCTGCTAACATTAGGTAGATGCAATCCTGCCTCAAAGGAAAATTCAGGAGGCAGAAGGGACTGCAGACAGGGTAAATAAATATTTGCATGGAACTCTTCAAAGCTGTACCATTCAGAGTTTTGCCGAATCCTGTATTGTAGTGTCATGGCTAACACATACAAGAGAGCATAGTACAGTACTGACTTCTGCCTGTGAACTAAGGCACAAAGAAGAGGCCTAAGGATAAAGACAAAAGGTGCCCGCATGCACTAATCTGAGCCTGTACAATCCCCAGAGGCAGGGATGGGCAAGGACAGTCCAATACCAAAGAAAATAAAATACAAAAATGGTCAAGAACAATTCATACAAGTCATAGCCAGGCAGAAAACGAGAATGGGCGAGTCCCCAACATTATAGTAATGCAATGACTCAACATCCTTATAAAATTTGTGCCCAGCACAAGCGTCCATGTCCCAGGGCCAGAGTGTCAGTATTGGAAACGTTGACCTCAAACTCTGTAATACGGTAAAAAGCAGATGTTTTATCCTATCATTTTATATAAGAACTAGGGGGATAACTGTAATCAACATATGATGAGAACTGCTTTACACTGGAGATCATCTTATGACAATAACTCCATTTTATGGGTTATGTTTGCTAAAAACACTTTTGTTACACAACACATTAGCTCTCAATTTTTTACACTTCATTAGCAGATAGAAAAATCCCTATTCTTGGCATTAAGAGGGGTCCATACTTTTGTACTTTATAATATAAACTATATCAACTGTCAGCATCCTACAAATGAAAGTAGATGGAGGAACAGGAGATTGGTGCAGATATACTGTACCTGTCTGGATGCTGGAGAATTGAAACCATCAACTCTGTAACATGAGCAGCAGCCAAGTACGAAACACCAGGACGAGTAACGGTACACTGCTGATCAAGCGTACGGTCATGGGTTGACTAGAAACGTAAAAAAAAAAAAAAAAAGTTAAACTGTCATTATTTCATCAATTCAGTAACCTGTTCAGTTAAGATACTATTTGGAATTCAGTTTCTATGGTCATTGAGTGACTGACATCCAACATTGCCCACAGGAAGGGCGTAGAGTATACATATAACAATTTATGAAAAGTAAAGTATCGCACGTACAAGAAAGTAGTTGTCAAAAGAAGCCACCAAGCCAGGGAGACTATGTAGCACGAAACACATGCAAGTAATTACCTAAGTGTGGTTACAGGATGAGAGCTATGCTTGTGGTGCCCCGTCTTCCCAGTACTGTCATATAACACTTTGAAACTACTCATGGTTTTGGACTCTACTACCTTCTTACCTAACTTGTTCCAAGTGTCTACCACTCTGTTTGCAAAAATGAAAGTAATTATATTCTTTGGCAGCTTTGCTTAGTTAGTTTAAATCTATGATCTTGTTCTTGAAGTTCCAGGTCTCACGAATTTTTCCCTATCAATTTTATCGATTCCCGTTACTATTGTGTTTATACAGTAGTGATCATATCTCCTCTTTTACTTCTATCTTCTAGTTTTAGCATATTTAATGTCCCTAACCTCTCCTTGTAGCTCTTATCTTTCAGTTCTGAGAGCCATTTAGTTGCATGTCTTTGCACCTTTTCCAGTTTGTTGATGTGCTTCTTAACACTTTCGCCCGGGCATGACGCAGCATTGTCATCCGTTTACTGGCGGTAATTCCGGGGATGACGCAGCATTGCGTCATCCACTTTAAATAATCGCAAAAAATCAGGTTTTTATCCGATTTTTTTGGGACTGGTTTTAAAATGCGCGCTGATGTCTTCCCATTTTCTTTGTTGAGCCTCCTGGCCCTCAGGCAGCTTGGCACATGCCGTGGGCCCATTGTTTTCGCTCCACTGTTGTGACCAATGTCGCCTCCCCTCGCATCTCAAATGTGTGAACATTTCGGCTATTTTCCGTGGCTATATTTCTTACTGCGGCTTTAGAAACTATCTACGCTTACTCCACGATGGATAGTGATCATGAACAAGGCCCTTCCAGGAAGAAAATTGCGAAAGAAAGGCTTGAAAAGGGCGGGAATTGGGAGTGTAGCTGGAAGGCGGCTGAGCACTCACTCGCGGCTAACGTGTGGCCCGTCTTCAACTCGTCGGCGGTTGGAGCGTGACCAGGTTTTTTATTTTATATGCTAATGTTCCTCTAGAGAATTCTATTGCAAACCCATTGAGACCAAAATGAAAGACTTAGGATAAAAATTGAGGTGACCAGAGTGAAAATAGTGAAAACATTTTATCGCGTTTGCGCGCTCCTGGGTAACTCGTTTGCACTTTCTCTGTTTGCTGCGGGTAATTAGCCGGGCTTTTGGAGTTTATATGCATTTAGTGCTGTAGAGAATTCTATTGCGAACACAATGATACCAAATTTAATCTCGTAGGACGAGAATTAAGGTGACAAAGTTGTAGAGAGTATACACTTTTCAGAATTTACGCGCACTCCCGTGACACCCTGGGTCCCATATCGCACAGTTGAGGGGTGGCGAGCGGGGTGCACCAAAGTGTTAAGATATGGACACCACACAACCGCTGCATATTCCAGCTTTGGTCTAACAAAATCTGTGAACAATTTCTTTAGTATTTCACCATTCACGCATTTAAAAGCAATTCTGAAATTATAGCGTAGCATAGGCTCCTTGCACGATGTTCTTTATGGGGTCCTCAGGTGATAGTTTTCTATCTAGCACCACCCCTAGATCTCTTTCTTTATCAAAATTCTCAAAAGATTTCTCACATAATTTATAGGTTGTGTGGGGTCTAAGTTATCCTATTCCACATTCCATAACATGGCATTTATTCATATTAAATTCTGTTTGCCAAGAGGTGCTCCATATACTTATTTTGTCCAGGTCTTCCTAAAGGGCATGACAATCACCTAAGTTTCTTATCTTCCCTAGTATCTTAGCATCATTAGCAAACATGCTCATATAATTCAGTATTCCATCTGGTAGATCATTTATGTAGACAATAAACATCACTGGTGCAAGAACTGAACCCTGAGGTACTCCACTTGTGACATTTCTCTAGTCCAATACATTGCCTCTTATTGCTATCTTAAGATCTTGAGATGATTTTGGGGCTTAGTGTCCCCGCGGCCTGATCCTCAACCAGGCCTCCTTTTTGTTACACATCCCCCAGGAAGCAGCCTCTAGCAGCTGTCTAACTCCCAGGTACCTAGGTGAACAGGGGCATCATGGTGAAAAACTCTGCCCATTTGTTTCCGCCTCCACCGGAATCAAACCCGGAATCTCAGGACTAGGAATCCGAAGTGCTGTCCACTCAGCTGTTAAGCCCCTCATTGCTGCCCTCATTTTTCTGTCAATCTTTTTATCCATGTTAGGAGCCTACCTGTCACTCTTTCAATATGTTTCAGTTTCCTGAACAACCTCTTATGTGGAACTCCGTCGAAAGGCTTTTTTTTAGGTCCAGATAGATGCAGTAAACCCAACCATCTCTTTCCTGTAAAATCTCTGTGGCTCAATCACAGAAACTGAGTAAATTCTTTACACAGGATCTTGCAGATTAAAATCTATACGGTGTCTGTCTGTTATATTGTATTTTCTCCAGGTGTTTTACCCATTTACTGTAGTTTTAATTATTTTTCCATTTACTGTAGTATTACACTTGTCAGCGATTTAATTAGGGGGTCTTCCTTGCTGCCTCTTGTGTAGATTGGAACTATGTTAGCCTTTTTCCACACATCTGCTACGACTCCTGTACACAGCGATGCCTGAAAAATCAGTTATGTGGAATGCTGAGCTCAGGTGCATATTCTCTCAGAACCCCCATCCCCCATGGTGAAACTCCATCTGGACCAACTGCTTTGTTCTTACTTAGTTCCTTGAGCATTATGCCACTATGTCTAGACAAAGCACATAGACTTTGTCTATGTGCTCTATGTTGTTTTCTGGAATTCTTATTGTGTCTGGTTCTCTGAAGATTTCATTTTGCAAAAAAAAAAAAAAAAAAAAAAAAAAAAAAAAAAAAAAAAAAACTTTGGAACTGTTTGTTTAATGTTTCACACATTTCCTTTTCAATGTTGATGAATTTATAGAATAAGCCTGGTTCTGTTTTACATTTGCCGGCTATCCCTTTCTCAATTTCTTTCAGCCTCTCTCCTCGCTGCCGTGTAGTTGTTGCTCACATCTTTGTATCGCTGGAATGTTTGGCCTCTTCCTATAGTGATTCCATTTTTATGTTTTTTGGCCTCTGGCCTTCTCTCAATTTCTGTTGAACCAATCCTGTTTCCTAGTCCTGCATCTCTGCTTTGGTATAAATTTGTTTGTGCCTTTATCATATATTTCACAAAACTTTACATACATTTACTTCCTTGCCTAACAGCAAGTCTTTCCAGTCAAATTCCTTAAAGAAATTTCTAAGTTCCCCATAATGTCCTCTCCTGAAATCAGTTTTTTTTAACTGCTTCAACTTCCTCATTTTCTTCCAGATTATAATGCACTGCATACCTTATTCCCATAAAGACATGGCCACTTTTACTCAAGGAAGGTATCTAATGTCAAATCTCTCTTCCTCTTTCCTGATAAATATCAAATCCAGCATGGTGGTAACAACCCCCTTCCCTCATCCTCGTAGTTTGTTTAACATGTTGATACATGAATGTTTCCAGGATGAGGTTCAAGAATTTACAGGTCCAAAAGTTTTCTGTTCTAGCTTCATGTGCCTCCCAGTCTATGGATTTCAAATTGAAGTCGCCAGCTACCAACAGTCATGATCTGTCTTTATCAGCTCTTTCTATAATCTCTGTCATTATTGTTATAGGACCCATTCGTTTATTATCAAGCTCTTCCTTTGTCCATGAGTTGCATGGTGGTGGACTACATGCATTTCTGATTATTAGTTTATCAACTTGATTGCAGATCTCTAGCGTTATGTCAACTTCTCGTGGATTGACAATCATTATTTTGTTTACCTTTAGGTGTTCTTTCACCAGCATGGCAACGCCACCGCCTTTCCTAATTTTTCTGTCCCGTCTCCGAACAGATAAAATATCATCTTCAAGTTTTGTCTCCATGAGTACAACAATGTCTGGTGTCTGCAGCTGTATTACATCACATAACTCCAGTATCTTTGATCTCACTCCATGTTGGTGTATACAATCTTCAAGAACATGTTCCCTCTCTCCTTGTCCTTCACTTCCCCCTTTCTCTAGTGATTTTGTTGGTTTACATTTTTGTACCATTTCACTGGCTTGCCTACCTTTATCACCTTGTAGAAAAAAAATAGCATTGAATGAAACGCTATTTTCTGGGCGAGACCCGGAGGCTCCCAGGAGCTATCCAGGCTGATATGTAACTATTAGTTTTCTCGCATCAAAGTGCATGGAGTTCTTGCCTACTGGGGACCACGAGCCAGAACCAGGCCTCCTCATAGAGGCGCGAGGAGCAATGGCCTATAGAAACCCTTGTGTGGTTGGGAGCATTCTATGTCTGCCATCGATGGGGTCTGGCACCCAGAAAGATAGGTGCCCCAAAACAAACCCACCTATTCTGGTAAAAATATTACTACCAAAACCCAAACGAATGGACAGAACTCCCCAACGAAAATTAGCAAACAAGCATAATGTTATCACATTGGGGGAGGATGTCAAAATTTTGAGGCTGGATGTCAAATTTTGAGGATTTTGAGACTGGATGTCAAAACACGCAAAAGCACCGCTGACCAGAGGGAGGGAGGGATGCCAGGGAGCCTCTGGGTCTCATCCAGCAAATGGCGTTTCATTACATTCAACGCTGGTTTTCTGGGTGGAGACCCTTCGGCTCCCCGGAGCTACTTACCCAAAGACAAGGAAAAACACAAGAGACTTACCCAGGAGACAGTCAATCCTCACACCTCAATGCGAAGTCGAGACATCCGGCTGCCGACTCATTGCAAGGCAGGACCTACCAGGTCCAGGGACATTGAAAAG